GAGCCTGCTTCTCCCTCTGCCTGTGTCTCTGCTTCTCTCTCTGTGTGTCTCTCATGAACAGATAAATAAAATCTTTAAAAAAAAAAAAAAAAAAAAGGAAACCTCATTCGAAATGGAGTCAGGAGGCCAGCAGGGGGCGCGCTGACACCCTCTAATCCTTCCAGATCCAACAGGGGAAAAGCTCATTTTACTACAGGGCAGGAGGACCATCTCCTACCCAGGCAACAGTCCAGCCAAGGGTCACAGTGTCACAGCCTAGCCAGGGAGACTGTCACAGCCCAGCTAGGGAGACCATCACAGAGTCACAGTCCAGCCAGGGAGACTGTCACGGTGTTACAGTCCATTGGAGAGTCATGGCAGGCGTTTACAGCCCAATGCGGAATGTCACGGAGCTCTTACAAACACTGCATTTCCTCCATCTAAGCGGCCCGGGGCTGGTGGCTGAGCCGTGCTCTCTGCAACATCCGTGGTCTTTACATACAGGTCACAGTCCAGCCAGGAAGACTGTCACAGTGTCACAGTGCAGCCAGGGAGACTGACACCACCCCACACTCACTTTCCTCCAATGGATTTTCCTTCCAAGCGGCTCCTTCCACCTTTCTCCTTTTTCTCTGTAAAGTAACCTTCCTCTCCCTACATTAGCCAGACTTGCCTTCAATTTTGCGTATCTGACATGGCAATTCCTGTCATTTCTGGAAAAACCCATTTTGTTGGTAAAATAACTGGCTGCTTTACTCTCCAGGTCAAGACCATCTGGGGCTTCCGAGTGTTTCCAAAAATGGGCACGGAAGTGCCCAACTTGCAGACGCTTCTCCCCTCTCGTTCTCAGTTCTCATTTTTTCCCCAACGACAGTGCAATCCATACTGTGCCCCAAGATGAACGTGTTTTATCACACAAACAATTGTTTGAAAGGCGCGCCTCACCTATGGAGACTTAACACTCACTTCTGGGGCAGCTGTAACTACAACATAAAAGTTAAGAGAGGAGCGTCGTTCAGGACGGAGGCGGGAGTCGGGCTGGGGAGCTGCGCCACACCCAGCGGGCGGAGGCCGAGCCGCGGGGGAAGGAAGGTTTTCCTCCTGCCCGGCAACAGCCCGGCCAATGAGCAGCCACCACGCGCGGCCCCTGCCAGTCGTAAATAGACCCCGTTCTGCGGGCAAAACACCCAGCGGGGTTGTCAAGGTCAGCCGCAAACGCTGATACGTGCACAGAGCGTCCTCCTTGGTACGCACGGGGGCCGGGACGGGGGGGGGGGGGACGGGGGCGGGGGGGGGCGGAGCCTGAGCCGGGCTTGGGGGGCCAATGGGAGGAGGGAGCCTGGGCCGGGCTGGGGGCCCGGGGGTGCGTGGACCGAGGGGGGTTGGGGGACCCGGGCCAGGCCTGGGGCACCCCAGGAGGGGGAGGGGAGGGGGTTGGGGAGGGTGGCGGGGAGGAGGGAGCCTGGGCCGGGCTGGGGCCGTGGGGGGGTGGACCGAGGTAGTAGGTACGGAGCCCGGGCCAGGCCTGGGGGGCCGATGGGAGGAGGGAGGCCGGGCCGGGAGGGGTGGGCGGCCGAGGGTGGACGGAGCCGGGCCGGGCTGGGGGCGCGGGGTGCGTGGGCCGAGGGGGCGCGAGCAGGGCGGGCCAGGCCAGCCAGGTCAGCCGACCGCGGGGGGCGCGGCGGAGGATCATGGGGACACCCGGGGACTAGCGGCGGGGCGGGAAGCCTGGGGGCAGGGGCGCGGCGGGGCGGGCGCGGCGGGGCGGGAGGGAGGGGGCGCGGCTCGGAGAGGGCGTGGCCGGGGAGAGGCGCGGCGGTGGGCGTGGCCGGGAGGGAGGGGGCGTGGCCTGGAGGGGCGTGGCCCGGCGGTCCCCGAGCCCGCGGTCAGCCGCTGGAGCGCCCGGCTCGCAGCCGGGAGGCTGAGGGTCTTCCCGGGGCCGCGGCCTGGGTCGCCCGGCAGCGCACACGCCCAGGAAGCGCTCGCTCGGCACGTCCCGCCCCAGCGCGGTGCAGCCGCCGAGCGGCCCACGGGAAACCTACCTCAGCCGCCTTCTCGCCGAGTTCTGCGTCCACCCCGCGGGTGCGGACGGGCGGACAGCGCCGACCAGCAGCCCGAGCCGCCGCCCTCGGCCCGCGCAGGCGCAGTACGGGCCGGCCGGCCGCGGACGCAGCCCCTCCCTGGGCCCTGGGCCCCGCGCCCCGCGCCTGCGCAGTCGTACTGGCTCCTTCGTCGGGAGAACGGAACCACCGCCTTCGGCCGCACGCAGGCGCAGTCACTCAGGCCCGTCTCGGCAAAGGCCCAGGCGTGGGGACCAGCGCCCCGCGCAGGCGCACTCCACGGGCCCGTCTTCGTGCGCGCGGACGCCGCGGTTCGGGCGGGGCCGGGTGGAGGGGGCAGCGGGGGCGGGGCCTAAGGGGCAGAGGGGCGGGGCCTAAGGGGCAGAGGGGCGGGGCCCGCAGGGTTGGGGCGCGGGGCCGGCGGGGTGCGGGACCAGCGGGCGCCGGCCCACCCTAGCGTGAGGATCGTGGGTGACATTGTGGGTGGCCCCAGGGTTCTGGAGCAGGAAGGACCTACTTCTGCTTTTCGGTAATAATTCAATCTTACCGTCTCTGCTGTGCAATGAGAACTACTTGGTCATCGGTTCCCTTGACAACTGGAGGCCGCGGTGACGTCATTTCGCCCAGAGGAGGCTGAGGTTGAGATGGGATGACGTCAGCGCCGCCCCCGCGGGCCGCCCGGGGCTGCAGGTGGGGGCGCTGCGGTCCCAGGAAAGCAGGTCGGGGTCACAGTGCAGAGCAGCAGGGCACCAGGGGACAGTGCGGGTCGGGCTTTTTTTTTTTTTTTAATAATAAATTTATTTTTTATTGGTGTTCAATTTGCCAACATACAGAATAACACCCAGTGCTCATCTCGTCAAGCTGCAAAGGGGGCGCCTGGGGGCTCGGGTGGCTCAGCCTCTGCCTTGGGCCCAGGTCGTGACCCTCGGGCCCTGGGATGAGCCCCCCACGTCGGCTCCTAGCCCCATCTTCCGCTCTCTCTGTCTCAAGTAAATAAAATCTTAAAAAAAAAAAAAAAAAAAAAGCAAATGTTTCCACTTTCACTACTTGTACTCAACATTTTTTAGGGAATCCCGGCCAGCACAGTAGTAGGCTAGTGAAGCAGTAACTAAGAGGAATAACTGTCAGAACAAAATTGTGTGCCTTCACAGCTGAGCAGGTTGTTTGCACGGAACAGCCTAAGGAATCACGGAACTATTAGAGTACATAGGTGAATTTAGCAAGATTGTAGGATAAAGATTGACATAGGAAAATAAGTGTATTTCTTTAGAGGTGCCTGGTGGCTCAGCCTGTTGAACATCTGACTCTCGGTGTCAGCTCAGGTCGTCATCTCAGGGTCACGGGATCAAACCCTGTGTCCGGCTCTGTGCTCAGTGTGGAGTCTGCTTCAGATTCTCTCTCTCTGTCTCCCTCCTCACTGTCTCTCTCTCTCAAATAAGTAAAATCATAAAGAAAAATAAGTGTATTGTTTTTTGGCTAGGAGCAAAACATTAAAAATGAACTTGTTAAAAAAACCCGTGTAGGGTGACTGGTCGGCTCGGTCAGCTGGGTGTTGATTTCGGCTCAGGTCATGATGTCAGGGTTGTAGGATCGAGCCCCACATGAGGCTCTGCACTCAAGGTGGAGTCTGCTTGTCCCTTGCCCACTGCCTCCCCCTTCCTGCTTGCTCTCCCTATCTCTAAAATAAAATCTTTAAAATACATAGACACATATATATAGTTAAAACCCACGTATAGTGTTGTAATTACCTTCTTATAATGTAATTTTTATAATGTAAGCTTTTGATTGCCAAGGCATCCGCTTCAGAGATCCATCTCTAGGAAACACATTGCCAGCTTCACACCAGATGAGAAGCCATGAGGCCACCCACGCATGAATTTCTTTTTAAAAAAGCACCAGTTGACCTGACTTTTTGATCACTTTGTTTCCTTTCCTGCAATTAATTCCTACTTTCATGCTTCAAATTCACCAGTAAAGCTTGAACCCTCGAAACCCTAGGCCACAAGCCTTGACCCCGATAAAGGCAGACCCACAGGCCCACACTCTGTCCTCTCCTCCCTGCCCCCGCCCCACGGCCTCACTGTGCAGCCCTGGGCACGCGCCCTCCAAGAATTGTGGGTAATAAACATTGTTAATCCTTGGAGAAATGAAAATTAAAACCCCAGTGCGAAACTTTTAAACAGAACAGCTAAAGTTGAAAACACTCACACCCAAATGTTGGCATGAACGTGGCAACCAGAATTACCATACATTGCTGAGGAAGTATAAAATAGTACAGCCACTATGGAAAAATGTTTGGCCCCTTCTTTTTTTTTTAAGATTTTATTTATTTATTCATGAGACACAAACAGAGAGAGAGAGAGAGAGAGAGAGAGAGAGAGAGAGAGACAGGCAGAGGGAGAAGCAGGCTCCATGCTGGGAGCCTGACGTGGGACTCGATTCCAGGACCCCGGTGTCATGGCCTGGGCCCAAGGCAGCACTAAACCATTGAGCCACCCGGATGCCCTGCTGGGCCCCTTCTTAAAAAGGTTAGCAGACTATAGAACTGTGCTCTGGCTGCCGGGACGAAACAGCGCGACTAGTTGGCCTCAACAGCAGACGTTTCCCTGTGAGAGCTCCAGAAACAGCTAACCAGGATCACGGTGCCGGCGACCTCAGGTTCTGGGGAGAGCCCTCCGCCCGGCCTGTGGATGGCTGCGTTCTCCGCGTCCTCACGGGACGGAGTCTAGCCTCCCTTCCTCTTCTCATAAAGTTCTCCAGTTCTATAGGATTGGGGCCCCACGCTTATGAGCTCATCAGCCTTAATTACCGCCCACGTAGGCCGGGCTCCGAATAGTCCCACTGGGGGTTGGAGCTCCGACTACGAGTGTTGACGGCTCACACACAGGCACCCTGCGGTCCAGGAGGAGAGCTTTGTCCAAGAGAAATGAAAACATACATCCAAAAAATGCCTCATCCAAGAACGTTCGTAGCAACTTTATTTACAACAGCAAAAACGTGGCAAGTGCCAGTCAGCAGGAGGAGGGATATACAGATGGCAGCGCACGCACAGAGTGGACCCTTCTCGGGAAATTCATGTCGGCAGGAACAGCACCAGCTTGGAGTAAAAGGGACTGAGATAGCTCAAAATGAAGTAAGAGCTGTCTGGGGACCCCGTTCCTGTGGGCAACTGTCGTGCTGAGGCCACTGAGCAGCAAACATGGGCCGCTCCTTCTGGGGCAGAGACCAGCGGGCTGGGGGCCCCTCCCAGGGGGACACTGGGTGTCCTCCCAGGAGGACGCTGCATCCGTGAGCCCCTTGCAAGGAGCAGAACCAGGCTCCAATCAAAGCGGATGCACTGCCCTGGACAGGGAATGGGACCACCACCCCGCGGGCTCCAGGCCGCGGCGAGCCAGCAACGCATCCGTGCTTCATAGTCCACGCCTGCTGAGTGGAGCATCCGCTGGGTCACCCCCGTCTCCCCAGCACATGCTGGGTGTGTGCGCAGGGAGGCACAGGTGACTTGTCCCGCTGCACAGACCTCTGTGACAAGAGCCGAACCTGCGGATCGTGAGATCCTGGGCTTCGGGCTTGAATGAGACACGGTGAGCGATGCCTCGTGTTTGAGGAGTCGAAGTATTTTGTGGGAGATTCCCCCAATGGCCATTATGCTCTGCAGCTTCTTCCAGAAGGGCTGGGCCTCTGAACCATGGCCTGGCCTGGTGACGGACCTGCGGAAGTAGCAAGAGTGATCTTGTTTCGTTTCCAAGTTCAGGGGTCGAGACGTCATTCAGCCTCCATGCTCACCCTCTGGACCGAGTCCCACGCGCACACAACCAGCCTCCTCCGTCCTCCATCAGCAGAACCACCTAGATGGCCAATCACGACTACGGCTGAGTGAGGCCAGGTGAGGCCAGCGTTAGGACCGTCCAGCTGGGGGCCCTGGGCGGCCAGTCGCTTCAGCACCTGACTCGTGATCTCAGCTCGGGTCATGATCTCAGGGTCATGGGGCTGAGCCCCATGTCAGGCTCCGTGCTGGGTGTGCAGCCTGCTTAGGATTCACTCTCTCCGTCTCCCTCTGCTCCACCCTCCCCTTCTCTGCCTCTCTCTCTAAAGAAAGAAAACAGAATTGCCCAAACGAACAAATTTCAAACAGCCAATGCGCAGATTCATGAGCTAAATAAACGATTGTCGTTCTAGAACACTAAATGCTGGGACACCTCGGTGTGCAGCAAACATAATTGACGCATCAGGGGATGCAATGAAAACCACGGGGAGGGACGCCTGAGTGGAGCGTCTGCCTTGGGCTCAGGGCGTGACCCCAGGGTCCCGGGATCAAGTCCCGCATCGGGCTCCCCGCAGGGAGCCGGCCTCTCCCTCTGCTTGTGTCTCTGCCTCTCTCTGTGTCTCATGAATAAATGAACTAAATCTTAAAAAAAAAAAAAAGCCATGAGGAGATGTCCACACACATTCGTCAGAATGGATGAGCTCTCAAGGACCAAACATGCTTGGTGCTGGTGAGTACGTTGGGTGGTTAGTTCTCCTCTCTCGCTGGGGGCGTGCAAACTGGTGTAAGTGTGTCAGAAAGCTGTGCGGAAGCTCCGAGTAAACTAAGCAGGTGCCTATCCCGTAGTTCAGTGACCGTCTCCAAAAAATGCGTCTCTCCATCGAGGGCCGAGTATGAGGAGGGCGCCTAGCGAAGGGCAGGGGCAGAAGGGGCTTCTGGGATGCTGGAATGTTCCGTATCCCTAAAGGATAACATCGGTGTGCTACACACAACTCGCACAATGTGGAGTGTCGCTCAACTGAACGGAACCTCCACGACGCCCTCGGTGAGGCGTGTGGACGCCCCGGCTGCAGGCTGTGCAGCCGCCCAAGTGGCTGGGAGTTGACACCCTCCCCAGCGAGACACAGGCCCGGGGCCCCCGTGCTCGGAGCCGGAGCGGGTGGGCTCGCCGCGCTTGCCCGGAGCCCGGGGAGCAGTCACAGGGGAGTGGCGTGGCCCGGGGGTGGGGGGGCGGCCCAACTAGCGCTGCGGAGCCCGGCTCAGGTCGTGTCTCAGCAGCCGCACAGGCCACTGAGGAGGCGCAGTGAGCCCGCCTGTCACCCCGCCTGGGGGTGTTCCTACTGCCAGCCGGGGCCCCACACCCCGCGCCCACGGCCGAGCGCTCCAGCCGAGCGGGGTGAGCACCTGCCGCAGGCACTGCCATGGCTGCTGTGGCATGGGCTCGGGTGGGGCTCGGGGTCAGGGTGGGGGTCGGGGAGGGGTCAGGGCTCAGGGTGCAGTCGGGGTGGGGTCAGGGCTTGGGGCTTGGGGCTCGTGGGTCAGGGTCGGGGGTCAGGGTCTGGATTGGGGTTGGGCTCAGGGTCAGGGCCGGGGTCAGGGCTCGGGGCTTAGGGCTCAGGATTGAGGTAGGGTCAGGGCTCGGGATCAGGCTCAGGCTGAGGGCTCAGGGTCCGGGTCGGGGTCAAGGCTCATGATCGGGCTCGGGCTCGGCCGGGGGGAGCTGCGGGGCGGCTGCGGAGCCCACGGCGTGAGGGCGGGCAGGGCTCCGAGGGGCCACCACAGGTCCCGGCGAGGAGCCGAGGGCAGCTTGCCAGGCACAGCGAGTCGGGAGCAGGGGCGTGGGCGGCCTCGGGGACAGCCCAGGGGACAGGGGTCCCACCTGATGTCCAGGGCCACGGCCTCTCCCGGCAGGAGACTCGGCAAGAGGAGCCTCAGGGTGAAAGCAGGTCCCCACGGCTGGGCTGCCCAGGCTGGGGACACCCGCCTCTGGGGCTCAGGCCCACACGGGGGGACCGCGGCCTCCGTGGGCCCTGCGCACCCGCCTCACCCTGCAGCCGTCGGGCCCTGTGGCCGTGGGCCACGGCAGTCTCGTGGCTGGAAAGCAGGGGGTTCGGGGGGCCAGGGACCCCGGGGTCAGCACCACAGCGCACGGTGGGGCGAGGCCGGGGGCCACACACTAAGCAAACCACTCAGGGGCAAGTGGGGCGGCTCCTTATGGGAAGGGAAAGGGAAGGATGGAGCCAAGGTCCCTGCCTCGGAGGACACTCCCAGGCCTGCCCGAGGCCCTGGGGACGCGGGCTCGAGTGGGCTTCAGAACTGCTTCGGCAGCGCCCACCCTGCTCCCCGTTCCCCACTTTGAATAGCAGAGACGCCCCCTACCCCCCGCCCCGGGAAGGGCGCGGAGTCCGGCCTCGCGGCTCCTCCTGAGACGTCAGTCACCCTCAAGGAGGCTCGCCTGCGGCCCCTCGCGGGTGTACACCCTGGTGCTACCTGCACGGTGGGGGAGGCCTTGGCGGTCCCGGGCGGTGCAGGTGCAGGTGCATGGGGCGCAGGCACAGGGGGGCCGGCGAGCTCTCCCTTCCCACGTGGTCTTCTCCGGCCCCCTCTCCCCGCGAGGTCAGGTCTAAACCCCTCCCCGGGGTTCTGGGCTGCCTTCCTCCCGCCCATAACCAACGGAAGGTGCTGAGTCACCCACACGACGTCCAACCAGGTCAAGAGTCCACGCAACGTCCACCCGGCCCTCGATGCCCCCCTGGAGAAAGGCAGCCCCGTGTGGGAAGCTGACCGCGCTGGAACCGCCCTGGGGAGACCACGTTCGGCGCCAGTGTGGACTCAGCCCGGCCTTGCACTCGTCTCCAAGGCCCCAGACGTGTGAGTGAGGCCACCCGGCCCAGCTCAGGGGCCAGCCGAAGGCCAGCGACGACCTCAACGGACACCACGTGGGACAAAGAGTAGCTCTAGGCGCAGCCCAAGTCCTGAGCTACCGAACCGGTAGGATCTGGTAAACGGGGGTTCCCTGAGCCCCCAAGCTTTGGGGCAGTTTGCTTTCCAGCAACAGCAAGCGGGATGCCCTGGCCCCTGAGGAAGCGTCTTTCCCACATGCGTGATCAGGAGGGTCTCGTTCACGGGCGATGCAGGTCTAGCCACTTCTTCATAAAGCCTTTGGCTGTTGTGGGTAGAAACACCGAGTACTTTCTAAATGATGGATTTCTGATTGGTTTTTATTTACAAGGAAACACACAAGTTTGGTAATTCGGGTTTGCCTATGGCATTGCTTTTAGAAATGCTCGGGAAAATAAAGATGGAAGAATCAAACATACTCATTTCTTCCCCAAAGACTTACTTAAAAAAAAAAAAAAGATACTGAATTTGCAAAAAGAAATACCTGCCTCCTAAATATTGCAGAGAAGATGTGTCTCTCTTGCTTGTCTGAAGAGTAGGCATTTCCACACGTGGTCCTGCGTGAAGGCGGCGTTGCAACCCCGTCAGAGCTTGGACCCTGACGACAGACCTGGGGTCAGACCCCGACTTTGCCACTGAGCGGTGACCTGACCTGCGCAGTCTCTGCCTCCACTGAGCCCCAGTTTCTTCTGAGGACGCAGAAAGCTGACAAGGCTGAGAAGGCCCCTTCCTGGTCTGGAGGTGTCGTCGGCAGGCGGGTACAGCCCGGTCCCTGGTGGGTCTCTGCCCACGCACCCCCCGTGTCCCGGGGCAAGCCCCGGGGCTGCGCCTTCCAGACCGTCACCTGAGGAGCCCAGGGCCCACCCTCTTAACCAGCTCCTGGGCCACCAGAGCACGCTCGCGTCCGGGACCTGCTGAGGGACCTGCCCAGGGGGAGAACTCACCGTGGGGGGTGCGGTTGTCACTCCACGGGGGCGTCTGTCCTAGCGGGAGCCACCGTGAGTCCCCGGGGCCTCCAATGGCTGCAGGACCCTCTTGACCCAGCATGTGTTGGGGCTTCTCTTCCTCCTCCTGGTTTCTAGGCAGCAAGAAGGGCAGTGCGCCGGGTGGGGGCGGGGGGCCAGGGGACCCAGCACCCGCGAACCCCCTTCCACTCCTGGGCACCTAGGTTTGCATTTTAGAAGCTGTGCTATGCGCACTGTCCTCTCCACCTCTGCGTCCCATGGTCCTAGTTGGAGGGAAGTGGGAGGCAACCAGCGCGTGTCTGGGGGGCCCTGCAGGTGGAGGGACCCCCGCGCTGGACCCAGACCTTCCCACAACAGCCTTCCTCTTGCAATCCTTAAAAAAGTTTCAGCATATTAAGAATTCATCAGTTAAGCTACAGATACAAACATATTACCTAAGTCACATTTAAAAGGCTAAGAGGAGGTCGTTTTAGGTGCGTAACAAATTTAACGTTGATATACACGGAATCAGCTTTGCGCAGTGGCAGTATCGTAGCCAATGAGGTTTATCCGAGGCGCAATTATTGCTAATTGATATGCACGGAATCATATCATTTATTCAATACCACCACGTCAGGTTTTGATCCACGTGTTGTCTACCCTTCCTATGAGTGCATCTGAGTGCCCTTTACATTCGTTTATATCAGCCCCCATCGGAGCCATTAGATAATAAGTCTACACGGGGGTGTATTTCAGGCCTATGAAAACTGTGAATGTAGCAGTGACTCCTTACAGCATCTTCAACTTAAAGTTTGTTTCTGGAAAACAAAAACCCGTGTTGTCCCGCAGTAGGAAACTGCCAGGAACTGGGCTTCTGGAGTCCCACATCCCTGCCCTTCACCTTCCGGAGTGTTCCCGGGTCGGCTCGGGCGCCCGGCGGCACCTGCAGCCCGCGGTGGACACATCCTCGCGGAGAAGCTTGTTGCTCGGCGGCTCGCGGTGGCCGCTGCTGCGTTGCTCCAGCCACAGCGACACAAAGCCCAGGAATGTGTGACGCACGTAGAGCAGTGAAGCTAAAAAGTGTCCCCATTGAGCAAAAAACAAATAGGCTGATACAGTGATTTTTTTGAACTTTAAACCTGACACGGGTTTATGGCAAACGTCCAAAATTCCAAAAGCCCCTAAAATCCATAAACAGTGCGATCACACACGAGGCCGTCGCAGAGTCCTGCGCAAGGGGCGGGCGGTCAGTTCTGGGCTGGGGTCTGGCCGCTGCTCCGCTGGGCAGCTCGGGGCCTCCGCGTGACCCGCCCCGCACGCGCGAGCAAGGCCGGGCCTCGCGGGGGCACGCCCGCTGTGCTGCAGCCTCCGGGCCTGCTCCACAGTGAAAAAGAATGTTGAAAAACAGAAACAAGAACAAAAGGCCTGTTGTTCGCTGGGCCTCCCGGTGCCGCGGCCCCACGGCAAACCCCGGGCGGGCGGAGGGGCCAGAGGAGCGCAGATGCTGCGGCAACTGCTTAGAAACCAAACGGGTTCACGGAAGCCGATGTGGGTTAAAAACAATAAAATGTGATGCCCGGGGACGCAGGGACGCCGCCTGAACCCGCCCGGGCCTCCGGGCCTGGCAGCACCTGTTGGCCGGCGACCTCCTGTTCCGAGACCCCGACCCATGGGCTCAGCAGGCAGCACCGGGAGCCTTCCACGGAGGACGGCGGGGACTTTGTGGCGGCCCAGTCCCCGGGCACCGACGGCCTCTGCACGGCGCACACGTGTGCACCCGTATCCATGCAATCCCCTCGGGCACGGCCGCCTCCCCCTTCACTGAGGCTCACACAGGTGAAGTGTGGCCTTCCACAACGGCAGGATTCGAACCCGGCTCCGGGATCGCCCCCCCCACCCCTGGTCGCGTTCTTCAGAACAGGGAGGGCGATTCATTCTCGCCATCTTGAGACTCGCACTCGCCACAACAGAAGTCTTTGTCCCCTCTCCCACGTCCCTCCGGACACAGGCGCCCCTTTCTCCCTGTGGACGCGGTCACTGTCAGGGCCCCGTGAGCAGCTTGGTGGCGGAAGGCACTGCCCTTCCACTGGAGAACAATGTCCCGCCCGCGGCCTTCCCTCCTCGGGGCTCAGCCCAGGACCCACGCGGGCGGGGTGGCAGGGTGCTCCATGAACCTGTGGGGTGCCCCAGGCCCGCGCCCCTCATGCCCCATCCACGCGCCTGCTGCAAACAGCTCAGGGACGGCACCACAGAGGAGGGAGGAGGCGTGGGGCGCAGCATGGGCCTGGCCGCCCGAGGCCGTCAAGGGGCGACCCCAGTGTCCGCGACCAGGCTGGACACAAGCCCAGGGCCCCGTCTGCCCCCTGGGACCTCACCCCGCGGGCCCGGGAGTGGGGGGCACCTGGCGAGTCCGACCACATCGGGTGAGGATCTTTCTGTGCTGCAGGTGGAGGCTCCGCAGAGCAGGGCCCCTGGAGAGGAGGGCGAGCTCAGGGCACTAAGGGGAGGACAGGGCAGGAGGGGGGGCTGCAGGGGGCGTGGGGGTGGCCTGCGGGGGCAGGGGATGGGGAAGGAGGCTGGAGGGCCCCAGGGGTCTGCCCAGCTGGGCAGCAGCCTCCATCCTCCTGAGCAGCCTGTTCTTGGAAGCTCTGTGGTCTTGGCTGCACATTTATTTGCTGGAACAGTTGCTGGGCACCTCCCCAGGCACCCCCCCGCCCCCCCTGCCCCCACCCCCAGCCTTAGAGGAACATCAATATTCATTGATGTATAATTAAAAAAAACAGCACAAAAAGCTGACTCCCTACTTCCTGCCCCACAGGCCTTTCTCCCCCTTGGCCCGAGTGCAGGCCTGGCTCCCCGACCAGTCCCTGGGTGGGCGGCTGCAGCTCAATGCTGCCTGTGTGCAGGCCCGGCCCCCCCCCGCTGTCCCCCCGCTGCCCCCCCACCCCCATTGGCTGCCCGGGCCTGCAGCGGCCGCGCCCCAGCGCCCAGACGGGATAAGACGGCGCCCCCACCGCCGGCCACTCTGGACGCCGCAGCCGGACAGATGGACGCAGGGACGACGGCAGCCGTGGAGCCGCTGACGTGAGGACGCAGGGGGCGGGGGGCACGGGCAGGATGGCCCTTTGGGTGGCCGGCAGCCCCTCAGTGTGGGGACCCCCAGGCATAGCCCTCGGTTCTCCCTGAGCTGGGGACCTAGGCCGGGCTCTGTGGGGACGGCCGGTGCCGTGTCACGAGCCTCCAGGAGCAGGGCTCGAACCCCGGGCCGCCGACCTCAAGGGCGAGCAAGTCCCGACCACACGCACCTGCCGGGCGTCCTCCCGCAGTGGCCCGCGGGTCTACACCAGGAGGTTCCAGCGGGTCGGAGTGTGGGTCTGGGCCGGCGGACTGTCCTCAGTGTTGGGTCTCCCGGGGGGCCGGTCCCTTCCCACATCGGGTGGGACGCGTCCCTGCGGCCGGGGTGGAAGCGCACAGGCCCCTGGCTTCCCACGTGAGCCGGGTGCAGGAAGGCCACGCAGGAACGCCGGGCTTGAGCTCCAGTTCTGTTAAAAGGCTATAAACCAGGGCAGAATGCAAAAGGGAACATTTTTAAATTAATTTCCGTGTGCTTATGAAGAACGTCCCCTACCCGGAGCTTCCAGGCATGTGGAATGTAGGTCTTATCCGTTTTCTTTTAAAAAACCCCACTAGTCAGGCTCCGCGAGAACGTAGAAGCATCAGAATGATGCAAAATCTTCTCGGGTTTTTTGTTCTGTTTGCAAAAACCAAAACCACTCACTGAAAGCCCGGGTGCAAGGAGGTGAGAAGGGCGAAGCGTCAAGGATTCTAGCCCACCTCAGCTGCTGAACCGGCGCGAGGCCGCTCCGACCGCTGGGGACCGGGACCAGGGGCCACGGGCTTACCTGGGCACGGGCGAGGGCCCTCGGTGCTTTGTCCTTTGAGAAATCAGATAAAGTTTTACATCTCTCCTCCAACTTATTTCTTAGATACAAGGGACCTGCAACACGGGAACGATTTTTCAAAAATCAGATGTGGTTTTGTATGGTTTTCAGCTCTGACGGAGCAAAGGTAGCGATTGCCCGTCACCGCCGAGGGGGGACAGTCGTGGGGACGATCCACAGCCCCCGAGGGCTCTCCGGGTCCTGACCCCCTCGGGGGCTCCTCTGTGACCTCCCCGCGCTCCCAAGGTGGCACATGTGGCCTTTGTGCCCCGAGTTTCCAGTTCAGAGCGAGGCTGCACCGCGGCCGTGGTCCCCGCGCGAGGGAAGCACAGCCTCGGAGGCCCTTTGCTTGCGGAGCTGGAGTCACACGTTCCTTCACGGGCAGCAAGTTCCTCAGGGTCTTTGGAAGGAGGGCTGTTCCTTCACGTGGGGGAGACGGCGGGGCCAGGGCCGCGGCTCAGCTTGGGGTGCCCTGTACCCCGCCCCCGACGTGCTCTGCACATGCCGCACCTTGGCCTCGGAGCCCGGGGAGGGGAGGCCAGGGGGCCAGGGGGTGGAGGGCAGCCCCGAGGAGCGAGGAGCGCTGAGCCGCGTGTCCCTGGCGCCAGGATGTCGCAGCTGGAGAAGGCGGCGCTGGCCTTGCTCGACGTGTTCCAGCAGTACTCGGTGCGGGCAGGCGGCGGGCGCAGGCTGAGGAAGGCCGACGTCAAGGAGCTCATCGGCAGCGAGCTCGCCCACTTCCTGGAGGTGAGGCCCCGGGCCGGGGGGCAGGAGCGGCGCCTCCGAGGGCCCAGCACAGCGGGGCGGCGCCAACTTGGCCTTGGGGCCCTCAGGGAGCCACTGGCTCTGCGCGCGACCCCGCATGTCCCCCGCACCCCAAGCCCGAGCCCTCGAGGCCACGAACTGCAGTCCCCGGGCACCTGCCTGCCCTGGCCGCCCCGAAGGTCACCCGTGGGACCCCGCACGCGGGAAACGGCCACGCCATGAGCCGGCGCGCGAAGGTCTGACCACGACCTGGTTCCAGAGACACTGCCGGAGCCCCGGGGTCTGGCCCTGCTCACGCTCGGGAGCCGCCCCCCGAACCCCAGGCCCCAAGTGCCCTCAGTGCCCCGTCCCCAGGTCCCAGTCTCTCCAATCTCCTTATCTCCCCAGGCCCCCCAGTCACCCTGTCCCCATCTCCCTATTCTCCTCTGTCCCCCCAGCCCCCCTCCGTCCCCCCAGGCCCCCCTCCCAGCAGCGAGGCAGCACCGCCGCCCCACGCGGACTCGCCCTCGCTGGGACCCGCCTCCCCAAGGCGGGGGAAGCACCTGCAGGCTTCGGGGTGGGGGCGACTCCTGCGGGACCCGGACACTAGTCTCAGGCAGGGGTTCAGGTGCACGCCCCTCAGCCCATCCCCCCCACCTCCTGACCTAACAACCCAAACCCCCTGGTTCCTCTGTGAACAGGATTGTTCTCGGGATGAAAGGAGACCGTGTTTGCCAAGTGCCCAACATACACTGGAAGCTCAACAAGTAATTATCAATAATCGCTAATCATTGATTTTTAAAAATATTAATTATTGGTTTTAAAATGATTAGTAATTATTGATTTTATCAGCAAATCATTGATTTAAAATTACGGCTTTAAAAGCTTAGCACGTGGGAACCAGTTTATAAAAGAGAAATAGTTCACGGTGAGCGCAGCCGGGGTCATTGCAGAGAAGAAACACTTTCAAAACCCAAACCCGCGGGAAGCCCTCACGGCGACTTCCACACGCGGTGAGGGGCTTGGGGAGAAGCAGAAGTCCGTGCTTCCGTCCACGACGCCGTCCTCCGCGGCTCCCTGGATGCGAGCCCGGTGACGGCGGGCGGCGGGGGTGCACACCCCGCATGTCCCACGGTGCCTTTCCGGGAGCGTCCAGCGGGGAAGACGCTGGGGCCCCGGCCCCTCTGCCGCCCCGGGAACATTCTCTCTGCTGCGGACACGTCGCTGCGGCGGCCGAGGGTCAGGGACGCGCCGCGGGCCTCCAGCTCATCGTAAGCGGCGGCACAATTTGTCTTCTCTCGTAGGAGATCAAGGAGCAGGAGGTCGTGGACAAGGTCATGGAGACGCTGGACAGTGACGGAGACGGCGAGTGTGACTTCCAGGAGTTTGTGGCCTTTGTGGCTATGGTCACCTCCGCCTGCCATGAGTTCTTTGAGCACGAGTGAGGCGAGGCCGCGCAGGAAGCGGAGCGGGGCCGAGCCCCCGGCGCCATGTAGCTGATTAGGAAGCTTGACGTGCTTTGTCGAGGAGATGCCGACCCCCTTTCCCGGGGCTGACCTCGGGGCCCCCATCCTCCGCTGATGGTCCGTGCGACGCGGTCACGATCCTCAGGAGGGCGTGTGCTCCGCCCGCGGTCAGGGCCACACCCCCCCAACAATGCAGCTGCCGGGACCCCAAGGATGGCTCTGGACGCCCGTGGGTCCTTGTCCAAAGTACCAAGTTAGAGACGCAGCTCCGCCCTGCATCCTGTGAGAAGCCTGCCTTTTCCTAAAATGGGTTCATTATCCGTGCGAAGGAAACCCAGGGTCGGGAGGTGGCCTGACATGTCTGACGCCAGGCGGCCGTGGGAGCTCAGCAAACAGGGCTACAGCACGGGGGGTGGGGGGTCTCCTGGCCGTCGGGGCCGACACCACATTCTAACCACCTTCAGCGGGTCTCCTGTGCCCCAGGTCACACGTTGGTGCCCTGAGGCAGGAGCGTGGCTCCCAGCAGGGCGTCCACGCCTCTCGGCACACAGGTGTTCTGCAAACAGCCTCTCTGGCCTCCCCTCCTGTCTGGGAAGCGCGGGGGTCGTTCCTCACTCACTTGTGCCGAGACAGGGTCTGCCCCGCAGCGGTCGGTGGAGCCCGAGCACGTGGGAAGCTGGACGTCACACGTGGGTACCCACGAATCCAAACGCTCAAGTATTAAGTCACTTCCGGGAAAGTTCAGATTAACCTTTTCTGCCCCTTTCCCCGCTGCTTCTTTACGTGCACAGACCTGGAAACCCATAAGCCAATTGATAGCTTGTATTTGCATCGAATAAAGAGAGTATTGTAACGGGTCCCCGTGGCCTTGAACAGGAGGCTGGAGGGAAACTGCTGCAAAGGTGGGGAAGCAGTAAGGCGCGGGCACAGGCGGCCCCCCAGAGCCAGGCGGGTGCACAGGGCCCGGGACCCTGGGATGTGCCAGGCGGCAGGGAGCAGATGCGGCGGGGCGCAGGGGGTGCGGAGGTGTGGAGGGCAGGCCAGCCACCGGGTGGGACACACCCTGGCCGAGGCTCCCACCCTGGACAGAGCACTGGGGGGCGGGGGGTGGGGGGACACCGAGACAATGGTGGCAGAAGCCAGCGCGCAGGGACCACGTGCAGGGACAGCCCATCCTGCACCCCTGGACCTGTGTCTACACCGCAGTCCCCATCGGGCGATCCGCAGGCCTTCCTGCCGCAGAGGACGGGGGACGGGGGGGACGGGGCGGCTGGGATGCCGAGCAGGGTGCAGCAGGTGTGGGGTGGCCTGGGCGGGCCCTGCAGGGGTGGAGCCTGACGCCCCGGGGCCTCCGCCACCAGGGCCCCCTGCTAAGGAGCAGGTCCCTGGAGGAGCCCTCACAGTAGAAACCCCCCGAATCCTGCCCCATGAGGCCGGGCGTGCACTCGGGGAGGGTGCCCCCCGCACACAAGCACCTGCCAGGACCCCGTTCCACGTGGCAGCTGCCTGGCCTCCCAGGCCCAGGCCAACAGCAAGGCTGCTTCAAGAACTCAGGTGATCCTTCCCCTCTAAGAAGTTAGGGGAACAGCTCCGTCAGCCTAGATCCTTCTAGAATCGTGCCCGCCTTCCCTGTAGGGTGGGCGTCCGGAGCGGACGGGGTTGGGGTACCCAGCATCCCAACGCTCCAGGCCTCCACAGGCCTTCCCGTCCTGGGCTCCCGGCAGCCGGGCCCCCGCCAGCAGCTTCCTCGCAGGGAAGGCTGCTGGAGGGTGTCTACACCTCAGGCCCCCACCTCCTCTCCCGGGGGCCTCACCTCGTGTGATCCCTGGACCCACTGTCCTGATCCGAGGGGCAGGCGTCGTCTTTCACCACCAAGCAGGGGGCGAGCGGGGGCCGTCGCTGCCCTTTATCCTGGAGTCTGGCATTTTGTAAACTGCTCTTCTACTTCACTGATCGTGTGGTTTTGATTCTCATTCGATTGATCGGGTGTTCTCACAAAACACACTTTGTATTCCCGGGACAAATCCCCCAGGTCATGGTCTAGGATTCCTCTGCATCGTTTTGCATGTTGATGGATTTTATTTGCTACTTTTTTTGAGGGTTTTGTGTCCATGTTTGTAAGAGACACGGATGATCCCTCGTTTTCCAGCCTGTGTAATGGTAGCCGGGGACAGTGGCCTCTCCCATTTCTAGGAAAGTTTTGTGAACAACCAGCATTAATTTGTCTTTAAATGTTTGCTAGATTCCAGCGGTGAAGCCACCTCGGTGGGTAGTTTTTTAACTACTTACGCATTATCTTTATTTGCTATTGGTCTGTTCAGATTTCTCTTCTTGCGTCAGGTTTTGTAACTTGTGTCTTTCTAGGAATCTGTGCGCTCGTCTAGTTTGACATATTCCTTTAGATTACTGCTTATTTCTGTAAGGTTGGTGGCAATGTCCTCTTTTATTCTGATTCTAGTAATTTGTGTCTTTTTTCTTGGTCAACCTAAAGTTTTGTCAGTTTTGAAGAAACCAGTTGTTTCACTGACTTTCTCTATTGTTTGCTTATTAATTTGTACCTTTATTATTTTCTTTCTTTTTCCTGCTTTTTAGGCTGTTTGCTCTTCTTTTTGCAGTGTCTTTAGGTAGAAAACTGGGTTATTGATTGGAGATTTCTTTCTTTCTTAAGATTTTGTTTATTTGACAGAGAGAGAGACACACACAGAAAGAGGGAGAGCACAAGCAGGGGGAGGGGCGGGGAGACGGAGAGAGAATTTCAAGCAGATTCCACGCGAGGGCAGAGCCTCATGCAGGGGGAGGCTCCATCTCACGACCCTAAGGTCATGACCTGAGCTAAAGCCAAGCGTCTGACGCTCAAGTGACTGGGCGACCCAGGCGCCCCTCACCCATTCACATTTCATGTTTTATGCCTCTGTGAATCCTCCTTTATCACTTCCTTTGGCATTAAATGAATAATTTATTTTATTTTCCGTTTCTTCACTGGCTTCGTGCCCAGTGTGGAGCCCAACTCAGGGCTTGAAGTCACCATCCTGTGATCAAGGCCGGAGCTGAGATGAAGAGTCTGACCCTTCACTGGCTGAGCCACCCAGGGACCCCTAAGTGAATATTTTCTAACGAAGCACATAGATTTCTTGAGTGATATTTTTTGAGCTGTTTGTTGGGGTGGTTGCTTTAGGGCTTACCATACACACGACTTCTCAGAATCAGCTTCAGATTTTTACGAGCTTAATTCCAGCGAGACATACACACCTCACCCCTACAGATCTATCCCATTTCCTTCCTTTCACAGAATGGCTGTTGGGCATATTACACCTGTGGATGCTATGAACCCAACCACCCATGGTTATGGTTACTACCTTACCATCTGCAAAGTAGCCCTGCTACAGTTTACTCTCTTCTGTGCTGTTATTGGCAAAAATATTACACATTGGGCAGCCCGGGGGGCTCAACGGTTTAGCACCACCTTCGGCCCAGGCCGTGTTGACCGGACGCCTTACTGTGTTCTTACAACAAAGCTAGAGAAAAGAAAATGTTGGCAAAATCATAAAGAAAATACATTTACAGGATTGTATGGTTTTTACCAAGAAAAAATTGGCTTACAAGTGAGTCCGTGGCAGGTCAGACACGTGCTGTTCAAGATCAGCTGCATCTGCCTGTGAATCTCCGTGTTCACCAAACTGAGGTCTCTTCAGCTCCCTAATGGATAGGTTAGTACTTTTCCATATATTTGGGGTTGTATTCAGCCATTAATTCTTCAAACTTTTTTCTGCTCTTCCCTCCCCCCTCTCCTGGTATTCCCGTTACCCATGTCTGGTGCGCTCGCCGGGCCCCACGTTGCTGAGGCTCTGTTCATCTTTCTCTCCTCCCTCCCTGTTCTCAGGATCGCGTAATCTTTACCGATCTGTCTTCAAGTTTGCTAATTCTGCTGGTCCAGAAACTCTGGTGAGCCCCTCCACTGAGTGTTTCACTTCAGTTCTTGTACTTTACCAACTCCAGGAATTTCCAATTAATGTTTTATGTATGTCAATATATTGTATGTTTCGGATATATATGTGTATATATCTGTGTAACTTTATATGACATACATTATATAAATGATATGTGTGGACTGTACAAACCTGTTATCTAAACGTCATACATTAGGGCCCCTGGGAGCTCAGCGGTTGAGCGTCTGCCTTCGGCCCAGGGCGTGACCCCGGGGTCCCGGGATCGAGTCCCCCATCGGGTTCCCTGAATGGAGCCTGCTTCTCCCTCTGCCTGTGTCTCTGCCTTTCTCTCTGTGTCTCTTGTGAATAAATAAGATCTTTTTAAAAACATTATACATCAAATTTTATATTTTATTTTGACCTACTGATATTCTTTGATGTGACATAGTCATCATACCCCCCTTTACTTCTTTAATTATAGCTTCCTTTAGTTCTGGGACGTATTTTAAATGGCAACTTTCAAGTCTTCGTTAAACCGAACACCTAGCTGATGTGATAGGAAGTGTCTGTTGACTTCCTTTCCTGGCTTATAGATCATGCTTCTCTGTTTCTTCACATGCTTCACAATTTTGTGGGTTGGAATGTAGACACTCTGGACCGTACCCTGTAGGGACTCTGGGTCCTCGGCCCTCCCTCCACCCCCACCCCCCGCCCCAGCCGGTGGTCCTCTCGTGGAGCGGCTGGCTGACTCACTTCAGTGACATCTGTCCCCCTCCTCTGGTGTCATCCCTGTGCCTCGGGAGGTGCAGCTGTGCGTACGCCCACAGTTGTCCCTGGCACCAGTGACCTGGGCAGGGCTCCAGTCTCCTTCACTGACCACACCCAGCTGCTGAGCTCAAGCAAAGCCAGCTGATCGCTCTACTGTCCTCAACAAAGCTGGCGGTGGGTTGGGGTACGCAGAGCTCCGGAGCCTAACCTGGGATTCACTGAGGAAATGGCTCCTTGGGTCCGTGTTTGAGATTCGTTCTAACCCCAGGAGGGCTCTTCCTCAGAGTCCCTCTCCCTGGTTCTCCTGCACATCTGCTGGCCTACAATTTAGCCTGTACCTTCACTGAATCTCTGAGTCTCTTTCCAGGGGCCTTTTCACAACTCCTGCTGTTTTTGAAAGTGCCCCTGTGGGCAAACGCAGTCAGCTCCTCTGGGAAGAGACAAGGAGCTACCTGTTTCTAGAGCCTGCTTCTCCCAACGGGCGAGGGTTCTGCTCTGGGAGCAACGGGCAACCTCTGAGTGACACCCACCGGCAGAGCCCAGTGATCCGTGGAGTCGGGACGCACCTCGGGTCTCCTCAGCTTGCCGCTCCTGGTGTGGACCCTGCATCTTACGAGCTGGCCGAGGGGGATCGGCCCCTGCGTCCTCAGTGGTGTCTCACCCCGGATGGAGGCTCCATTCCACAGGAGGCTGAGTGGAGGAAGGGATCACGGTTATGCTGCCATCCCAGTAGATCACTTGGAAACACATCAGCTACCTTCATAATCTAAAATTAAGCACAGGTAATCACAGTTTGCGTAAAATAAGAACATTTAGAAACCAACCTGAATCAAAACAAACAGAATCAAGATACAAATGACCTACTAGGCGCAGTGTGGACTACGCGGATGTTACTGACTCTGAATGTAAAATGGCTCCTACAAATCAACCGAAAACACCTTTGAGGACAGTAAGAATTGCCAGATCCGAATGGAATGAATCAAATGGGAAATAAACACATGACACACGAAAACATACTTACCACGACATGACACTTATTTGGCCATCAGTGTGGCAAGGACTTGTTTTAATCTTGGGCAAGTGTCCATCGCCAGGGCTGCCGGGCTGCTGGCAGGAGGCCGCTCCCCCAAGGCCTTTCAAACTGGGATGAACTCTGACCTGGTCACTGGCCCCGCGCGAACTGCGTCCAAGGCAGCAACTGCCATTGCAGATGTGCGGGTGCTCAGCACCGGCAGTGGCAGGTACTCAGCACCGCGACCGCACAGCACCCGGCAGCGGCTTGGTGCCACGCGCCCACGTGGCACAGCTGTTAAAACATGCAGAAGAATATGTGTAAAAGATTAAAAGTCGGGAATTTATTAAGTACAAACACTGATATAAAAGCATAGGATTCTAATTTTGTGAAAGTTTTTAAAAAGAAAAAATTAATCCCTGAGGGGCTTTTTATCAAATACTAATGCTGCTATTACTCAGGGGTAGAGATCTTAATTTTCTTCTTTCGTGTGCTTTGCAGATTTTATGCTGTATACATAAATGCTTTTATATTCAGATTAAAAGAATGTAAAATAAAATACATCCCATTTTGGGTAATTTAAAAAACATTTTCACATACTTCAAAATGCAGAATTACAAACAGTCAATATCTTTTATTGACATAATGATATATAAAAAAAATTTTAGTGTGATATACAGAATTCCCAGAAAGTAATTTTAGGACAGTTTAATGCTCTTCTTCAAATCTTAATTTTCAAGACGCTCTGTCTTGCTGCCACTGACCTTTCAATACAAAACTTTTACAGTATTTGTTTGCTACAAAACTACGACATTCGGATTAGGGTTAGGTAGTGTTTCCCCGCTGGCCATTCTGCTATAAGGAACGTCCGTTAGTCCACTGCCAGAACCTCTGTACGTGAAACAATAAGTTATACAGATTATGTACATAATTACACGAGGCCATTAGAACTCCAGTATGTCGTCTCTATCACACGCAGCTCAACACTGCAGGCGAACAGAACTAATGGGCACGCGCTGCCCGCGGCCACGGAAGAGCAGGACGTGAGAGCTGGCCCAGCGAGCCAGTCCCAGGTGGCGGCGAACTTAGAGCGGTAGAGAATTAGTAACAGCTTTGTTAGGCACTGCTCCAGGCTAATTCCAGAAACGGCTGGCTGTTCCTAGGAAGCATGCATAATTCATAAACTTTCCCACCCTCAGTCCCCCAAACCCCACAACTTTATAACATACTCTGTAATAGCTATATAAAAATAATCTCTTAGATTTAAGCTTCACTTCAAATTCTTATAAGTAGCTAAAGGATTTTACATTCTCTTCTTTGACTCAGGTTTACTCTAATATTAGATCAGTCAGTTTCATCAAGTTTGAATAAAATAACTGAATGCGGTTTGGCCAAGTTTTATAGGCACACTAGTCAAACTGTGAAAGCCAGGAGCGGGGGGGCGGGGGCGAGGCTCTCTCCACGGCCCCTCGACTGCATGCAGGGTGCTCAGCAAACAGCACTAAGGACCTGAAGGCCTCAGGTGCTGTCACCAGTACTCACAAGTCTGTTGAATGGGAATAAAAATCACAGCTCAACGTAATTCCATGTATTTAGAGGAACCCAGACTGTGGTGTTGGGAAAACAAGCACATTAACTAAACAGCATCAAGTCACAAACCTACGACAGCGGTTTAAGACTTAACTGCTGGTTTATTTGCCCAAAAGCAAGCACCAAACTCGACAGCCCCCAGCGGCACCTCTCGAGTATCAGTGACAAGTGTGGACACTCGGGCACACGTGTTTCAAAACGAAACCAGCAAAGGAAGCGCCCTGTGAGCACAGTTGGCGACTCGGGACCCAGGGCGGGGAGGCCGGGCCAGCCCCCAAGTTGCTCGGCTCCTCCCTATGAAGCAGAAGCAAAGCACGGGGTCCAGGGGCCTCACGTGCTTTCTAGCATAAATTCTATATATGAACTGGGAATAAATAAATGACTTTTAAAATCGAGAACTATATTTTTGGCCTAAAAAAAGTGCAAACTCGCAACACAGTAGAGCACTTGCAGTTCCCCGCCACACCCACGCCAGGCCCTGCGTCTCCCTTCAGGCACCCTGACGTTCCTGTTCTCGTAAACGTCCTCCAAATTAAAGTTTCTTCCCTCTGTCCAGGAAGCAGTTTCTAAAATGAGAATTGGGGAACCTTGAGACGGATCTGTAAAAGTGGAGGAGGAGGGGCGCGGCTCCGGGAAGATGGGCGTCCTCTCCAGGCGGCTGCACACAGGGCGGTGCTCCCACCCCGGAGGCCTGCTCCCCGCCCGGCTCAGGAGCGTGGGGCGGGCGAGCGGCGCTCACATGTTGTAGGCGACGTAGATGGGGTCCAGCTGGTCGGCCAGGAAGCCGTCCCGCAGGTGCATGCGCTGCTTCTCGCCCCGTGAGTTGATGGGGATCACGCCGGGGTCGACGATCACCACCACGCCCACGACCAGGTGATGCTCCTCCAGCACCACGTTTGTCACCAGGGCCACCAGGTCGAGCGCATCCTGCTCGAGCCCGTCCAGCTCCACCACCACCACCAGCAGGTTGGTCCAGGTGAACACGGCACTGCGGGGAGGAGACAGACGTCACCCCAGGGGCGGGCACAGGCTTCTGGGGCAGAGGGGAAATAAGCGGGAACGGCGCCGGACACAGAGCAGTAAGAAGCCCTGCAGGAAGTCTGCCGACCTTACGCTGCTGCGTGACATCATGAGCAATTTAGGGGTTGGGGGACACATCCTCTAGGGATCCGTACACTACAGTCCTTAACAAGACCCGAGGTGCTGAAAGCTGTGCCTGTCCCAACTCCAGCTTCCAAGCAAGTGAAGACACAGGGACCATGTCTGCTTAGGTTAAGGAACTCACAGTAAAAGCAGAAGCACTTCAGGATAATTGAGCGACCCCACATCTGGGGAGCCGGATTCTTGGTTGAAACAGATTAGGACGTGGGCCTGTGAGGGGCCTGGGGTCCGCGGCTGGTGGCAGGTGCCCGCAGGCCAGAGCTGGGCCCAGAGCAAGGCACGCGGCGTGGGGTGGGGCGGGGCTCTCACCACTCAGCGATGCTCCTGTGCGCTCGGACCACGGACGTCTCGATGTCAATGGGGTGGTAGCGCATGCCCCTCAGCTCCAGCGTCTCATCCAGGGACCCGACCACGTACAGCGCGTCGTGTCGCTCTGTGAACACAGCCCACGCTTGCAAGGGCACCCAGGAAAGGGCAGGCGCCTCCTGCACATTCTTCGAGCCCCGCGTCCTGCTCTGTGGGATGGAGGAGCACGCCCTCAGGTGCCCTCAGGTGTGTCTGGGCCTCCAGCCCACCTGACTGCCCCCCGCAGCAGCCCCACCTCGGGGGGTGCCCGTCAATGTTTGAATACACTCCTGACATCTGTACCATGTCTGGAAGCAAAGCCGCATCTGGAGGTACAGCCGGTTCTGACGACCTGGCCATCTTGCTGCGGCCTAAGGGACCCTGCAGCCTTCAGGGTCAGGCCCGGGGAGGGCCTCGCAGCCTTGTTGCCAGCACCCCAGCCCCTTGGCAGAGGCTGGTCCAAGGCCAGCGAGGGACGGCCCGGTGGCAAAACGGCAACTTGCAGGAAAGCTGCTGTCAGGGCACATCCCTCACCTCACGACACACCTAATGACACAAGCTCACGGCAAAGGGCGCGGCAGCCGGGTCCCCGAGAGCCGCAGCAGGCACGGCAGGTGCAGGCCTCCCTGGGGTGTGGCCAGACCCCACAGGCAGCACCCTCACCTCCACTGGCATCGGTGAGCTCCGTCCTTCGAAGGAAACCCAGGTAGCCAGTCCTTGCCCAGATGGTCTGTGTGTCTCCGAAACTCAGCCGGGCGCTGAAGTGGTCGGCGTGGAGCGCCTCCTCCCCGTAGACTGTGTAGTACCCGGTGGCATTGTGGGGGCTGCTCACCCAGATCTGGTGGGGCCGAGGGCAAGAACGTGGGTGCGTACCCAACGCGGAGCACACCAGCCCGGAGGCGTCCACTAGCCCAGGCGCTGAGGGAAACGCTGAGCAGGGGCCCCGGGGGACTCAGCGCTGGAGCCTGTGCCCTCGGCCCTGGGCATGACCCCGGGGTCCCGGGATCGAGTCCCGCATTGGGCTCCCCACAGGGGGCCTGCTTCTCCCTCTGCCTGTGTCTCTGCCTCTCACTGTGTTTCTCATGAATAAATCAATAAAATCTTAAAAAAAAAAAAAAGGCACCAAGCAAGGCAGGGGGTGAGGGAGTGGTTTCAGGGCCTCTTCTCTGTGAATGAAGGGAAAATCGCAGGCACACAAAGCCAACAAACAACTCGTGCTTCCTTTACGTGAAGCATTCCTCCCCTCGGCCCCAGTGGACGCGTGGGCTCCGCAGCGTGGACGGGCTCACGGGTTCCCTGCCCTCATGTCAGACCCCGGCCGGCACCGAGGGAGAGCTGCCCATCTGCACGTCCCCACAGGGGCGGGTGGGGGGCAGGAGCCGCCACGGCCTCGCAGACATGCCAGGTCTGCACGCACCCCTGCAGCCGTCAGCCGCCCGGGGGGCCCTGGGCCACAGGGACACACCCCCAGTCGCTCCCCATGCTGGGCACCTGGCCCTCGATCCCCCAACAGCACCTGAAGGAGGCGGCGGGGCCACAGGCCTTGCCCGAAGAGCTGGCCAGCGAGGGGCACGCGGACTACAGCCAACCCTGGGGCCGGGCAGCTTCCCAGCAGGACGCGGGGACAAACAGGCAGCATCTGCACACGTACCCGCGAGCCCCAGGCGCTGCCGCGCCCACCGGGGCCAGGACACAGGCTCCCCGGAAAGCCCACAGAGTGACGTCTGCACCACGGAGCCCCCGGCCCAGGGACAGCCCCACGCGCCCCGCGTCACGCGAGACCTGCTCACGCGCACGGCATGTGGACACAGCAACTCCCGTGAAGCCTGCATCCTGAGGACACGGAGGCCCCTGCCAGCCCCCCGCTCCCGTGTACCCTCACCCTGCAGGGCCCTAAGGGCGGACGGGGCAGCTGCGGGGGCTGCGGTGCCCCCCTTACCTCGCCCAGGTGTGAGTCCCCAAGGGGCCCTTTGGTCTCGGTGTGCGCAATAATGACCTTCACCCCGGGGAGGATCTGGAAAGAGAACGGGAGCGATTGGGGGCTGGAGCACAACCTACGTCAGATTCTCAATTTTCACAGAAATAGGAAACTTTTTAATAGATAAAAATTAATTGTGAATCTTAGCGAGATTCTCTCATTTCCCAAGAACGGGCCGGATCTCAGATGTCGAGAAGCACCTGCCGCACCCGGGGTCTGCCCCGTAGGGCCCGCCCACGTGGGGGCCGCGCACGCACCTGCCGTCAGCCCAGCTCCGTGGCCCCAGGCACCAGGGGCCCTGGCGCAGGCCCGCCACCCGACAGCCCGTCCCAGATACTTCTCCACATGTGACACAGGTGGCGGCGGGGACGCCGGTGGTGGGATGAAGGGCCGCGGGGCCGAGGGGGTGCCGGCTGGTGCCCACGGTCATCCTTCCGCCTCTGCCCCAGTGCGGCTCACCCACACTCCCACCCCAGGACCTTTGCACCAGCTAAGCCATCCACGTCTCTGTGGCTGTTCCTGCTCAGGAGCCTGACCCTGCCCACACTCTGGGCACACGGCCCCACGGTGCCCACCCTCCTCACCCACACCCCACGCAGGCACATGGGCTTGTCCTGTTGCTGCCCCACTGCCCCGTACCCCTCTGGGCAGTTCCCTGCTTCCCGAGAGGCAGCTGTAACCACGGGGGTGAGGGCAGAGTCGGGGTGGCCCTTCTGGGCTGCCTGGGCTGTGCCAACCTCCATTTCTTGCCTCTGGGGTTGTGCAGGGGCAGGAGGACACCGCGGCCCTGCCCTGCCCCCGCCGTGCCCTGCGCCCGGCCGCCCAGCCGTCCCCCCACCTCGTGACACGGCCCCATAAAGCCCCGCGGGGGCTTCTTCCCCTGGTTGAGGACGCTTGTGCTCCACACCCCGGAGGCCCTGGGCCCGGCCCCAGGGGCCCCGACAGCTCAAGCCTCAGGGGGAGCTCCTCTGGGGGCTGCCCCTCTCGGGGTTGCGCTCAAAGACGTCCTTGTGTTCGCAGCGAGGGGCAGACGAGCCCCGTGCAGCAGCCCAGCGCGGCCCCATTGGCCTGTGTCCACCGGGACGTTTTTGATTCTCAGCACCCGCCAGGGGCTAACACGAGAGGACGGGGTGTGGGCGCCGGCCTCCACTACCTTTCCGGACTCCGTCAACGGCAGGCTGTGCGGAGATCCCCGTTCTACCAAACGGACCCTGAGAACGAACAAGGGAAAAGGAAATCAGAAACCGACCGTCACTGCGACGGCCAGCCCGTGGCCGAGGCTACGCCTGCAGGCCTGGATCCCGCCTCGCCATGACTGGCCCGCACGGGGCCGCATGGGGCTCACCTCCCGTCCAGCCGGCCCCACCCCGGGAAGCCTCCAGCTGAGCGTGGCCTACAAGGGTCCAGAGCCCAGATGGAGCTTTGGGGCAGGAGGGGCCCCGCCCACAGGTGCGCCCTGGCCCCAGGGCACTGACGGGAACACTAAGGCCCGTCCTGAAATGGTACCACGTGAAACACGCTTGCCATCGGTTGGTTTACTGGCTTCCATCCAGTAGGAGGCCACGCGTCCAGCGTTCAGTGACTGTCATCACCCCCAGGTGTGGGAGTGACAGGCGCAGGCACATGGGAGGGAGCAGGAGGCCGGGGGCCCCGTGAGCTGGGAGGTCGGGGCGGGTCCTCACCTGTCGTGGCGCAGCGCCCTCATGTCCACGTACACGGTGGTGGGGTCCGGGCCGGCCGTGCCCTGGAAGAACAGTGTCTGCGTCTACACGGGCACTGCCGCGGGACGGCTCCCCGGGCCCCAGGGGTCACCCCGGGAGGCAGCGCTCTGCCAGCAGCAGTGTCCGGTAATGCAAGGTCCTAGAGGCCAGTGCTAATGGCTCCCCGCTCTCTGCACGATGGTACAGACACCACCGAAGGTTGGGGGGCATCACGCCGCCGGCAGGGCAGGCTGGCTCCGCGGCTGGGGAAGGTACCAGGCCCAGCGGGGCGCTCCCGGGATCCACCCCCATGGCACCTCCCTGCTCGGCACCGAGCCCGCCGAGGGCGCTGCGTTCAACTTGCACACTAGGAACATGGGACTGAGCGGGCTCCGCGCAACGTCACCCTCTCAGGGTCCCAGACAGCGCGACCCACGTCTGCCCCAGAATCCAAACAAGCGTCTCCTTTGAGACCAAACGCTGCCCTGCGTCCGGAGGCAAGGCCACGACTGGTACTTCTGCTGAAAACAGGGCTGCTCGTAAATTTGGTTTCAAAGGAGCTTTGCGATACGTCCGTTACACGGCCGGGAGCCCGTCAGACGGCAGGAGAGGCACGGGCGCGTCGGGGCTCACGGCCAGGCCGCGCGAACTCACGGGGAGCACGGCGGTGCCGGGGGTCGAGGTCGTACCTGCTCAGCCAGCTTCCCCAGCCTGTTGGGCTGCCAGGGGCCAGGAGGGCCGGCAGCGGGGCACAGGGAGGACAGCGCGGAGACCGACAGAGCAACAGGCCGCGTGAGGGACGCACGTGGGAGAAAGCAAAACACGTCACTGCATCTCAGAGCGCAAACGACAACGGCCCACGGAGCTCGAGGCGACCCTACCGGCGCCCCACGGCCGACTGACAGTCGGACACCTTTGCGGGGGGCGGGGGGCGGAGGGCGGGGGCGGGGAGAGCCTCCCCTGGGGCCGCTAACGAGGCATCGACAGCGACACCTGCTCACACCCCTCCCACACCAGGAGGGCCCGGGGCTCGCGGGACACAGGACGCCGGGAGCTGCCAGGAGGCAGGGGGTCCCCGCCTGCGAGACGGCCCTGCGCGGGGACGCGCGGCCCGGGACGCCCGTGAGGAAGGCATTCGGCGCGTTTTTAGGAAGAAGTGAGATGGAGATACCGCTGCCAAATGCACAGAACAGCCAGTCGCTGTTTCACCCCAGCACTTCCATTCCTGAAACTTTTAATAAGCAAAACACCATAATGTTTCAAAAGTGATATTTGGGGCCACACAAACCGCGTTAATTAATGTTTCAATTTAAAATTTGCAGATGTCTTCCGAAGTTTAACTTGCTTTAAAAAATTAGCTACGTGTTGCAACCACCTCAGAGGTGTCTCCAGGGGGGTAGGAGTCACTGCCGCTGAGCCTTTGCGCCTCTAGGCGACCACAGTAGCTTTCACAGTGAAGTCCCTAAGCTCACAGACCCCACGGCCACACGGAGGTGAACATGAAAGGCTGAGAGGACAAGCAGGGACCGGGGACCGGAAGGCAGGACAGCGCACACAGGGAGGGCACCGAGGGGTGCAGCAGGCCTCACCTGGAGGCAGATGGCCACGTTGACCCTGCACCCGAACGTGGTGCTCACGGCGCGCGCCGGCAGGCCCAGGTCCTTGAACAGCTTGGAGAAGGACTGCGTGAGCGCGATCCTGGGCCGCTCCTCGGCCACGACCATGCAGGTGCGCACGCAGGACAGGTTCACCCCCTTCATCTGTGGGAGCGGTGGGCGGGGTGGCCCTCAGCCCTCTGAGGTGGCCTTGGAACCCAGCAGGGGCAGGAGCAGGGGCAGGGGCAGGAGCAGGGGCAGGGGCAGGAGCAGGGCAGGGCTGGGGCCAGGGCTGGGGCAGATGCAGGGGCAGGAGCAGAAGCAGATGCAGGGGGAGGGGCAGGGGCAGGAGCAGGGGCAGGGCTGGGGCAGGTGCAGGTGTAGGTGTAGGGGCAGGAGCAGGGGCAGGGCTGGGCCCAGGGCAGGCGCAGGGCCGCACACTCACCCTGAGGACACCCGTCTGCGTTCCCAGGCCCCTGGTGCACATTTCCATCACCGAGTAGGAGCAGAAGGTGACCCGGGCCTTGTACTGGCTGACCGCGGACAGCCACAGGGACACGTTGCTCTCCAGCTCCAGCGGAGGGACCAGGACAGACTGGTGTCCTGAGTAGACGCTGGGGGGCGAGGGAGGATCAGCGCCGGGCAGCCCCGGGTGCCCCACCCACCGCCTCCTTCTCCAGCCCAAGCATCACGTGGGAGTTTCACTAGAAAATTCTGTGTTGGGGGGAGTGTGACATGACATGGGCAGTGGTCTCTCTCCCCCAAGCCCTTCAGAAGGACCCCGGGGCAGGGCCTGCTGGCTGGACACGGACACGCTGGCTTTCGACGTCCTAAATGGGTCCCTACCTCCTAGAATTAGATGGAATTAAGTCACCTCCTCCGTTACTAGTAACACTCACTGGAAAGTGCATTTTCCTTCAGTTTCAAACTCAGGCTCTGATCCTTCTTACCCCAAACCAACCATCACATGTGCATCTCAGACTGCGGAGGCATCAGCAGTGAACCAGAAGGTTCCAAAGAATGACACAGGCGATTCCTGGCTGCAGGTGGGCACAGAGCAGGGGCACCTGCACACCACCTGAGCACTCAGCTGCTCGCCACCTGCAGGACTTAGCTGCTCATCACCTACAGCACTCACCTGCACGCCCCCTGCGGCACTCACCTGCGTGCCACCTCAACACTGACCTGCGCACTCCCTGCAGCACTCACCTGCATGCCCCCTTCAGCACTCAACTGTGCACCACCTGAGCACTGACCTGCATGCCACCTGCAGCACTCAGCTGCTGGCCACCTGTGCACTCACCTGCTTGCTACCTGATCACTCACCTGTGCACCCCCTGCAGCATTCATTTGCAGGCCTCCTGCAGCACTCACCTGTGGGCCACCCAAACACTGTTCTACCGGCCACCTGCAGCATTCAGCTGCTTGCTACCTAAGCACTGACCTGCAGGCCCCCTGCGGCACTCACCTGCTGGCACTGACCTGCTGGCCCCCTGCAGCACTCACCTGCTCGCCACCTGAACACTCACCTGCTCACCAGCTGCAGCGGTGACCTGCACCCTACCTGCGTACCACTTGCAGCACTCACCTGCACAGACACCACAGGGCGAAGCCGAGGCCACAGTAGGGGTCAAGGCAGATGGCGATCTGCCTCGAGGGGTACAGCTCACACTGCAGCTTTATGGAGCGGCACAAGGCACTTGTGGCTGCGTGCGACATCTTAAGAAGTAAAAGGGAAGTTGTGGTCAGTGATGGGAGGGATGGAAGGCGACAGCAGGACCTATCGGCCACGTCGCCAGTCACAGTTACCTCCTCAAAGGATGGCTGGCTCAAAGCTCCATACAAACCTAATAACGCACAGGAAGGGGCACACCGAAAACCTTCTAAATGACGTTTCAGAGTAACAGAAAAACTTACTGGAGCTCTTGGCTCCTGGTAAGGAGACAGACTCATCAAACCACCTGCTCCCAAAGCCAGTGGTAAATCCGAAAGTTTAGTTGTTGCCATAACACATAGGAACATGCTCTCAGGTAACCCGACGGGGGGGGGGGGGGGCTTTCCTGTGTCCACCACACTTCGAGGAACGACACCCTTGCTGCAAGCTGCGGGTCAGAGGAGGGCCGCACAAACCTGCACCAACACCCCTTCTGCCCATGTCACCCGAGGCAGAAGCGAACGGCACGCGAGCACGGGACCCACCTTCACGCCTGCTAAAATCCCCGTGGTTGACACGCTGAAGTCCAAGTAGGCGAGCACGTCTGGAGACGGCGGCCTGAAAATGCTCGCCACCTTCTTTTTCGGTATGTCGTCTGTTGAACCAGACACCAGTAATGTTAAGGCTACTTGGGCTCTCACGGGAGAAAGAATACGAGTCTGTACCTGGGGAGTCCCGGGGGGTCCGGGGGGAGCGAGCGGGGAGCAGGAGGGAAGCCTGGAGGCAGCAGGCTACGTGTACACACGGGGAAGCTCACTTTAACCTCCGGGGACTGCCATGGGGAGCAGAGCCCCATGACTGCTGCGAACGTGTAGCGGCCAGGACAGTGGGCGAGGTGGACCCAGGGGAAAGACAAGTCACGGGAGCCGCATGGGAAGCCACTTCCATTACAGCGGGGCAGCTCAGAGGGGCAGGGACGCGCCAACGGTCACAGAGCCTGTGGCGGAGCCAGGATGAGCAAGAACTGCGACCGCGGCGAGAGCCCTGTGGACTGGCCCCGTCCCTCCTGAGGACCCGGAGCCGGACACAGAGAGGCAGGGGCTGGAGCCTAGGTCGCAGCATGCCGGTGAAGCCGCGGGACTCTCTGGAGCCCACCCCGGGGCCCACCCCGCCTGCCCTGGACCAGCCCCCCAGCCTGGACACGGGTATCGAGCAGGTGGCCCCAGACACGATCCCTGACCTCTTGCCCTGGCGTCAAGGGCAGATGCCCACAGGGGTGATGGGGAAGGAGGGACGCCCGCCCGCCCACTGGCTGTGCACCTCGAGTCACCGATGAAGCCCGCGGGGTGCTGCTAGGGAGGGGTGGTTGGCTCACAGGCACTTCCCGGGGCGCAACAGCACTCGCCATGATGGGGACAAAGCACAGGTGTGCTGGGGGACCTGTGCCCCCACCACCAAGTGCTGTACAGGCACGTGGACAGTGTGAGGCACACGGGCTGCAGCAAGGACTCTGCCCCCGCGGTGCGGGCGCCCCGCCATGAGGGACACCCAGAGGCGAGCTGCGGGCGGCCCAGGGGCAGGTGGCCCTTCATCTCTCAGCCGCTCTCACCTAACTTTTCTTGTTCGGTGGCGTCAGTACCACCTGCACAACAAGGGGAGGGGAGGCGCTGTGTCCCGGGGGCCAGCACACGCCCTGACGCCTCAAGGGCCCGTACCTGTATCCACAATGGTTGGCCAGGTCCTGACGTCCACAGCGGCCCCTGCATCTTTGGACTTGAGCAGCCGCATGATGGCCTGTGTCGTGAGGACGCAGGCGGACTTGCTGACCTGCAGAGCACGGGGTCGAAGGTGTGAGCGTGTTGTGGGGCCCCGGAGAGACGGCCAGACCACCGCTGGACCCACTCAGAGCCCCATCCCCCGGGTGGGGCCCGCCTGCCGGCCCAGGGTGCACAGGTACCTCCACGATCATCTTGACGGTAGGCAGCGTGGTGGCGAGGTTCTGGGGGTGCGGGGGCCGCACCGTGACAGGCACGCAGCCGCAGTACAGACAGCCGTAGAAGGCGGCAATGAGGTCCACCCCTGGGGAGACACGCGGCAGAGGATCAGTGCGCAGTGGGCGTGGCGGGCGGCACCCGGTCCCGTGGGACGGCAGCACAGAGGAGAGGCTCTGAGTCCAGTGCTACCTGGATAAAGCCACGACTTCCCCAAACTAACGCAGTGTCAACACGCAGAGGCTGAGGGGCTCACGCAGGCCGGGCTTCTGCCCTCGCCAGGACCTGCACCCCCGCTGCCCGCGCACAAGCAGACACGGCCTCACGTAAGGGGCGCACGGTCAGTGACCTCTCTGGAACAGACGACGTCTATGTAAAGACGTGGTAAGAACGCACGTCTGGGGCCCACGTAAGGCACAGGCAGGGAGTCACACCCCGGAGAAGGTGGGGCGCGGGGTGGGGGTCCAGCCAGGGAGACGGTGGGGCGCGGCAAGGAGTCCAGCCCCAGGAGAAGGTGGGGCATGTGGCAGGGGGTCTGTCCCCCGGAGACAGTGGGGCGCAGCAGGGGGACCCCATCCCAGAGGGAGATGGGAGGATGGGGCGGGGGGCCTGCCCCTGGGGGAACTGGGGGCACACAGGCGGCGTGTGCTCCCTGCACATCTCCTCCAGGCCGGGCGCCCACCTTGCTGTCAGCTGCTCACCCTAACACGACCACCAGGATGTTCTCCAAATGTCTAAACGTCTCAGGTTCCCCATATTAACACTGAGGGGGGATGAGACCATCTTGAAGCCAGTCCAGCCTGCGATGCCCCCATCCTCAGTGCCAGGGTCACAGTCAAGGGCACTTTTGACCTGGCTGGTGGTGTCGCGGGGCCCCAAGCCCCCCAGGGCCAGCAGGGTTAGTCGGACACACTGAGGCAGGGCAGCCCCGCGGCGCACACGACGGACACGTGGCCAGCAGCCCACCTCTTCGAGCTCACAGAGCTCACGCTGCCCCCTGAACGCGCGTATACTTGCAGGTGCGGGGCGGGGGCACGATCCCCCCTGATCCCACCAGCATCCCCCTTCTGCAGCTTCGGGGGTTGGGAGGGTGTCAATCCGTCAGCTCGGGAGAAAGTCGCCCCTGGGAGACACCCCCCCGGGGCCCTGCGGCCGGGGAAGCCTGGGCAGCCCGGGCAGGGGGCCTCCAGCAGGCAGGGTCTTTTGTGCTCCGAGCGGCTCAGCCCCAAGCACAGAAGAGCATCAGCCTGTGGATTCTCAGCACCCCCCGCAGCCTCTGCTACCCCCTCCCTCCTCGTCCCCGCCTTGGAGCCTTCTCAGGCCCCCCGTGATGTCCGGCCCCCCGGGCCCCACGACGTGCTGCGTGTCTTCAGCCGCGGCCCAGCCCCGGGGGCACACGCCCGGCACGCGCCCAGGACCCGGGGGTGCAGGTGTGCCTGAGGAGTGGGGACGGCGGTCACCCTGGGGGAAGGCGGCCCCACAGCCCAGGTGTGGGGGGACGTGGGGACAGAGGCCGAAGGAAACGCAGGTGGAGGTGAACCCCCTCATGGCCTGCGGCCACATGGCTGCCAGGGCGGGAAGAGATGTTCCCCCAGGAGACTCGTGACGTCGATGCTTCGCTAGAGGGAGAACAAGCGGCAGGGCCTCGGGCGTCCTGAGCGTCCTCCGGGGCAGCCCCTTCCCTCACCCTACCGCCCCTGCAGGGCCAGCTGCCCTCACGTCCCCACCAGCAGCTCCGCCTGCCGCGGTCCCGTCCCTGCGCTCTGACAAAGCCACCTGCTTGCACCGAAGACCTTGTTGGCCACCGGCTCCGAACCCCAGCAGCAGCGCAAACCCACGGCAGGGAGTGGACGGAGGAGACAGCGTGGCACCGCCGGTGGGAGCTCCGGGGTCCGCGCCAAGAGACCAGGCTGCCCCCTGGGCCCAGCTCCCAGGAACGAGCCGTCGACACCTGCGGCCCCCGAGGAAGGGGCCCGGCACGGAGAAGTGGGGGCGCCAGCACACGCACACCCGACCTCCGGCCTCCGGCCCGGACAGGCGGCCCGGGGCTCAGGCAGGAAGGATGTCGTAGAGCCGACACCCGGGAGGACCCGGGAGGGCCCGAGGTCGGGAGGATGGATCAAACCTCGCGTCAGAAGAGCGCCAGGCGCAAGGAAGAGGGAGGAAGGGGGGCCATGAGGAGGAACTTCCCGAGATGAAGAGGAGAGCCCCACGGCCGACCGGGGAGGACGGGAGCAGGGGTCACGCTGGGTGCAGCCCCTGCGTGTGCCGGACGCTGAGGTGACACGGGAAGCCTGCCGGGCCCCAGCCCACGGCTCAGGGCGGACAAGACGGCTCCCGGGGTGTGCAGAGGCCCCGTGCCCCCAGGAGGACGGAGCGTGAGGCGCCCATGAGACGGAAGGACCCCCGCAGGCCTCTCCCAGGAACGGGCAGTCCGGGTGGCTCGGGAGTTCCCCGGCGGGCACCCTGGGGTCCCCAGAAGGGCAGCGACCTTCCCCCGACCCCGCGACTTCCTGGGATGACCTCCTGGTCCCGCTCGGTCCTCTGTGCGGCGCCCCAGCTCCTTCCCGCGGCCGCAGCGCAGGGGCCGCTCAGGGGTCAGGGGACAGAGCCCCGGCCCTCCCGGCCGTACCCGCCAGGCTTCGCTCTTGAACATTCACGCGCCGCCTGTTACCGACGGACAGGACCTCGGGAGACACCGTCGGCAGCAGGGCTCCCGAGGAGCGTCAGCAGCCTGCGCGGCGGGGACAGAGGCCTGGGCCACGGAGCGCTCGGTCCGGCCCCCGCAAGCATGGAAACCGCGGGAGGGAAGCCAAGGCCGTCCCTCTGGCAACACAGACGCAAGGGGCGGGGACACAGCGGAAGCGATCACCCGCTGCCGAGGCTCACGCAGGGGCCACGGCATCCACGCGGTCGTTCTGGGCACGCGGCCTGCGAGGGCGTTAAGCCCTGATTTGCGATATTCGAGCATCTCTCATCTGCCTGCCCCGAAGCAGCAGGAGCCTGTACAGAAACGGGAGGAACGAGGCAGAAGGGGTCGCGTCAGAGTCCCACCGTCCTGACCCCGGCCTCGCGAGGTAGAGCCTCCCAGACGCAGTCGTGGGATTTCTGATTCTAGCTCTGCTCACGGAAAGGCCGACAGCGGTCAACCCAGGAGCCATGAGCACCCCCAGGCCTGGACTTTGTTCCGGGGACACGGGGCTCCAGGGGACGGCTGGCTCCCGGGGTGCGGAGGGACGGGAACCGTGGCCGGCACACGGCAGGAAGCCGCCAGGGGCTGGTGTCGCTGCGAAGCCAGAAGGGGCTCCCACTGGCCGAACGCGGGGTGACCTGAGCTCTGTGAAGAAACGAACGGCAGAGGACGGACACCCGGCAGATCGGTCTCAGTCCACGAGTGCACAAGGGCGTGTGCGTTTCCAGATCTGCCGACTGGTCACGTCCGGAGCGTGATGGGAGCACGCGGGCCGGGAAGGACAGTTTCAGCAGGGATGCAGCGCGCCGAGCGCAGGGTGGAGGGTGGTTCCCGCAGGTGACCTCCCGGCCAGGAACGCCAGGCCTACAGTATCACTGCTGGCGACCCCCGAGAACGAACGAACGAATGAGCCGTGAGGCGTCGCTCAGTGGCTGAGGCCACCCAAGCCAACACGGGTCCCTGATGAAGTACTCTCACACCACGCAGGGCCGGCAAGGCACGGAACCCGAGTCTGACCCGGGACCAGGACCCAGCTGCCGACAAGACGACGCTGGCCCACACCCGAACGTGCTGCTCGGAAGCATCCGGCCTGTGGGGCCTCTGCAGCGTCAAACCAGGTCTTCGGTGGTAAATCGTAGACAGAGGGGAAAGGAAGAGCCCGTGGATCAAAAGAGACTCCAAACACGCATCAGATTTCAGGAAAACTGGCAGATTAGCCTGATGGGCAGGGGTGCAGGGTGAGCAAACCCTGGGACCTGGAAGACGCGGCGACAGAGGTCGGGCACAGCGGCGGCTCCCGGGACAGCGGAGGAGCCTGTGCTCGGGATGGGGAACGCCAAGGGACGTCCAGGGTGCCCACCAGGACCTACTTTCTGACCTGGCTGGAGGTTCGAGGGTGTCTGCTTTATAACAGCAAGTGTCCCGTGAGCACAGCACCAAGGGAGGCCCCGTGTGCTTACCTGGGGGATAGACCAAAGCCACGTGGTCCCCAACGTTCAGTCTGGCCTTCTCCATCAGAGCGGCGGCGACCCTTTCTGCCCTTTTGTGCAGCTGGACACAGGTTGCAGTGCTGGTGACGGTGCCCTAGGGAAGCAGGCCCGACTCAGCACCGGGACGGCAGACACGGCCCTTCCAGCACCGTCTGAGGGCGCCTGGGGGGCTCATCCAGTAAGGGTCCAACTCCTGGTTTCGGCTCAGGTCATGGCCTTGGGGTCGTGAGATGGAGCCCCGGGTGGGGCCCCACATTGGGTGTGATGCCTGCTTGGGCTGCTCCCTGCCTCTGCCTCTGCCCTTCCCCCAACTTGCTCACCCTCTCTCTTTGTTAAAAATATTTTTTAATAAATTAATTAATAAAATTTAAAAAACAGACCAGCTGCCACCAAATGCCTCCTTCCCTCTGCTGACCAGGTCGGGGAGGCCTCAGAGCGCTTCTTAGGAAATTAAAAGTGCAGCTTGGTCTAAACATACTGCCCCGGAGCAGGCCACGGAGCAGGCCCTGGAACAGGCCACAGAACAGGCCCCGGAGGACAGGACAGGCCCCAGAGCCCTCCCTTCTGCACTACGAGGCCAGGCAAGTCCTTAGGGCCCTAAGGTCAATTCAAACTCCAAACTCTGACAAACCAAAAGAAATGCAGTTTCATGCATGACTTTGGGGGAAGTCGGGAAAAGGCCAGAGCCAGTCGTCCGGGGGCTCCCCCCGCGCCCGCTCTGGGCTCTACAGCCAGCCGACCTCTCCATTCGCGGCTGTTGAGCACCTGTGCGAGGTCCCCACCCTGGGCCCCCTGCCTTGAGGAGTGCAGGCCAGCCCAGGTGCTCAGACCACTCCCCACGCTGCCGCCCCCGCCCCGCTCCCACGAGCCGCTCAGAACCATGAAGCACGTCCCTCCCTGAGCTGCGTCCCATGCAGGGCTTCCCGCCGCAGCCTCGGGGCAGCACCCAGCACCTGGTGGGGCCCGCCTCGGAGCCCCCGGCCCCCCACCCCTGCTGTTCTGATTCCCCGGTCCCACCGTGAGCTCACTGTATCCTGGCCGCTTGTCCATTATCGGCTGTCTCTGCACTTAGAGCTCAACCAACCACAAAGTAAGCGTTTACTGAACACCGTTCTAGATCTGCAGACACAGCGAGCAGAGGACACGGTCTCTCTTCCGGACCAGTTTTCCAGCAGGGAAGACTGACTTCAAGCATCCTGAGGGCGGGGTCCCCTGACTTAACGCCCAGCACCGGAGAGGTATCAACAAATATATATATATTTTTTAACAAATATTTTTAAATGATGAAATAGTGGGCAGGGATGAGCGGCAACAAAAGCTAGACCAGCATGTCCTAGGCCCACGGCGGCCCGCCCTCACCCGTGTCCAGGTGTGAACATTCTCACGGCCAGTGTGACGCATCTGAGTGAGGCGGCACCTTTACTGTTATTTAATGTCACAGTCCTGTATTTCGTCTGCTGGCCCAACAGTTGCATGTGAGGGTTACAGCACCTCCTTTCTATCCTAAGGGCTCCTGGTACGGTGTCCTCACATCACAACGCAGCCAAAATCATGGAATCTATACCAGGATCAGGGCAGTAAGCAGCATCTGTCATGTTAAAGCTAGAAACCAAAGTCTAAATTCCTAATTTTCACAAAATAAACATCTCCTTTTAGCTCACTGGAAATAAACGTTTCCTTATGAGCACACTGTTCCTGAGAATTTTCCTAAGCACTGGATTGATGAAACATCGCTGCCTGCATTCGGGGACAGCCGGGTTCCCCAGGCGGAGGACAGCGGGGGGCAGCGGTCCTCGGGGTGGGGGCTCGGGCACAGAGCGCGGGGAGCAGCCAGGATGGGCAGCAGGCTGGCCTCACCTTGGCGTTGAGCAGCAGGAACAGCGGGTGGTCGGGAGTGGTGTGCGCCCGCCACTGCAGCACGTCAGGCAGGAACAGGAACTGCGCAGAGAGGCCCCTCAGTCCGCGGCCTGACCCCGGCGCCCACCTCGCGCTCCCGGGCACCGCCGTTACCTTCCTGGCCTGGTCGCTGTCCTCCAGGTGAGCCAGCTCCCGGCCCGAGGCCTGTGCAATCCTCTTCCCGGCAACCAGGTTCCCCACGATCATGGAGGCCGGCCCCACCTCTGGAAAACATTGTGGGGGGCAGGGGGTTCTGCGTGAGCAGCTGGCGGCCGGAACCCCTCTCTGGATGAGGCCCCTCACTCAGGAAAGCAGCCAGAGGGTCTCCCTCAGACACAAGCAAAGCCACGCTGAGACATTCTCCGTCGGGCATACACCTGCGGGTACGCCTGGGCCTCAGCCACAGCCACGCACTCAGTAAACCGCGTTGTTTTACTGCAGTTCACATACAAAACATATTAAGTGTTCCCGACTAAGTATATTTTATTCGACGACGTTTTATGTGTTTAATAATCGGTGAAAGAAAAATGTGCATTTACTAAAAATTTAAATGACCAAAAGAACCAAAGTAACAGTGAAAGCAGGCTCTGGAATTAGTCTTTACATGTGTGAAACGAGGGAAGGGAGGGTGACCGTTTGTTGAGGTCCTCAGGCGTCAGCAGCTGGGGGGCTGGCCGGCCCCGGCACCGCTGCAGCTCCTCCGACCCCCGAGCTCCACAGCGGCTCTGGGACCTCATGGCTATTCCCAGGGAGGAACCCCCTCACCCCCCGAGCCTCAGTGCCACACTTGCACTTAGTCACCGAGGTGCGTTCCAACAGGCAGGTGAAAACCACCGCACAGGTGACATGGTCAAGTTTTCTCATCTGTGGCTGGGTTCCCGGGAGGCAGGAGGTGGTGACCGCCTGGACGGCCCAGCTCTTAACCCCAGCCCGAGAGACGCAGGCCCCCAGGGGGCCGCACCATTTAACCATGAGTGTGGCTGCTGCCAATAGACGAGTGTTGTTACATACGATTCACCTGGTTGTTTCTGGCGAGGTTTGGGAAGGTTGGTAACACAGGTGTGAGGACACATGAGCACATTACAGGGGTGCAGCATCCCCTCCAGGAAACGCTGCTTGGTTTCAGAAATGTGAATCCCTCCAAGAGGAGCCTTGGGCAAGGTGTTGGCAGGAACCAGGGCCAGACAGTACACGCCCACCTGGTGGATGCTGTCGATGGCCTGGAAGGGAACAACGAGACACAGGAGGCGGTGAGACCCGACCTGTTGCACAGCCACCTGCATGTGAGCGACGCTGACCTGCTCACAGCTGGTCGAGGCGAGAAGGCTGGACACTGCACTGGGGAGAACGCTCAGATCCACAGACCAAGGAGGCAGTGATCTCTGAGACATCCTGTGAGACGGAAAACATGGGGAGACGTGTGTTCACTTCCCATCATCGAGCACGCACGTACTGTGTCTACGTGCACACACACATAAATGTGAAGCTCATATTAACTAAAGGAAATCAGATAAGCCAGCAAAGCCGTGAAGGCAGAGACCAGACTTCTCTGAATACATCTTGGCTTCAGATTGGACTTTGGAGCCTGGTATATGTTTTACATACAAAAAACTTGACATTTTAGAAAGCATGCCCTAACAACTGAAAGTAAAATAAAACAGATGAAACTCAGCTGAACTGGAATTAGGTAGGTAGCAACACCCCAGAGAGAGCATCTATTTAAAGTGCTTTAAACACCAAAATTTCATTAGTCCACCCCAATCACATAAGCCCTATGGGCAAAAGGAATCGCAAAAACATGTTAAGGTGCTCTTGGAAATCTCACATGTCAGAGAGAGTGTAGAGACCATTATTTTGCGACTAGAGTGTGTAGCGTAGCCTGAGGCAGATGAGTGATTCTGTTGCGAGCTGGTGATGTCTGCAATTTTTCATTATGGGACAAAGAAGATCAACAGGTCAGGTAAAAATTCTGTGGTCTCGAATTTGAGCTGGGGTTAGCAGCATAAATTCATGATTTAGGTGCTCTTATGAATAGACATTATTTCCTCCTCTGTCTGCTGAAGAAGGCCCAGAAACAGTGAATAAGCCAAAACACCCAGTGCCCAGAAGGTGGTCCCCAATTCCACGTCCCCTAGGAAGTGGCAGGGTCCCTAGGGTCCCGGCCACGACAGGTCTAGGATGTGAAACACCTGCCTTGCCCCAAGCATCTGAGCCTCCATGTCTCTGCTGTGGCCTCAAAGAATTCCAAGAATATGTCAAAAGGACTCAAGAGTCAACGTAGAGGGGCTCCCATTGACCACTGGGGAAAAAAAAACAAAACCACAAACTATAATGGACCGAATCATATCCAGTATGCTTGCATCCATTAGTTCTGAGTGGAACAAACAAAATGCAGTGGTCACTTTAAGAGGATTCTGAGAAACCACCTCACTACTATGCAATCGATCCTGCCTCCAGGTCCCCGGGTGACCGAGGAGGACACAGAGCTCTCAAGAGGACAGATTCTAGGGTGCTCTGGTGAGCCTTCACATCAAGGTGGCTCCGCTGTGAAGTCCTAGCAGCAGAGGCAGCAAGACATCATGTGCCACCTTCCAGGAGGAATTTTTGCCAGAAAACTGAACCTGAGTCTAATTAAACCTCCAGATCCAGCCAGTGTGCAGGAGGACTGCGGGGCCAGAGGTCTGCATGAAATGACACCGCAGAGGCACCCTCTTCGGAATTCAGGTTAAAGAAACACTCTGCACAAACAACTTGTTTGTATCCATGAACTAACTGCAAGAAAAACCACAGCAGAGGAAGAATCTACAGACCGAGAAAGCCTTAAAGACCTTGTCCCCACCAGGTACAATTTTTTTTTAACCTCATTTTGATCCTGAATCTAACAAACATTAGATAATCGGGGAAGTCTAAACAGTAACTATATTTAGGTATAAGAAATTACTATTACGATAAAAATTCTGAACACGGCAGGGATGGGCAAACATACCTCAATATAAGAAAGTTCATTAAAAAAAAAAAAAAGAAAGTCCATATTTGACAAACTCACAATCAAGACCATTCTCAATGCTAAGAAGCTGAGAACTTTTCCCCTAACATCAGGAATAAGACAGGGGTGCACTCTCACCACCGTCATTCAACACGGAACTGGAAATCGCAGCCACAGCAATAAGGCAATAAAAAGAAGCAAAAGGCATCCGACTTGAAAAGGAAGAAGTAAAATCGTCACTATTTACAGATGACATGATCTTATATAAGGAAACCCTTAAGGCTCCACCAAAACCTGTTAGAACTGATAAACACATCCAGTAAAGTTGCAGGGAACACATGCTGTGTCTCTGTACGTTAATGAATGAACCATCAGAAGGAGAAATTAAGGAAACAATTCCATTTGTAATTGTACCAAAAATAATAAAATAGATTTAACCAAGGAGGGGAAAAACCTATACGACAAACTATGACATTGATGAAAGAAACTGAAGACACAAAGAAATACAAAGACACTCCCCATGCTCATGGATTGGAAGCATTAATATTGTTAAAATGTCCATTCTACCCAAGGTAATCTACAGATTCAGGGCAATCCCTGATTCCAATGGCATTTTTTTCACAGAACAGACCATTCTAAAATTTCTATGGAATCAAAAGAGAGTCTGAACAGCCAAAGCAAATCCGAGAACAACAAAGCTAGAGGCATCACACTTCCTGAGTTTGAATGATATTACAAAGCTACAGTAACCAAAACAATACAGTATTAGCATAAAAACAGACATACAGATCAAAGGAATAGAACAGAGAGCCCAGAATAAACCCAAGCACATATGGTCAATTAATTTATGACAAAGGAGGCAAGAATATGCAATAAGGAAAGGACGGTCTTCAGTAAACGGTTCCGGGAAAACCGGACAGCCACATGCAGAATGACACCGGACCACTTTTTCTCACATCATCCACAAAAATAAAATCAAAACTGGTTAAAGACTTGAGCATAAGATCTGAAACCACAAAACTCCTAGAAGAAAACATAAGTCATAAGCTCCCTGACACAGGTCTTGATGAGGACTTTATGGATCTGACACCAAAAGCAAAAGCAATGAAAGCAAACATGAATAAGTGGGACTATATCAAACAAAAAAGCTTCTGCACAGCAGAGGAAGTCATCAACAAAATGGAAAGACACCCCACTAACTGGAAGAAGATGCTTGCAAATCATACATCTGATAAGGGGTTAATATCCAAAATATAAAAAGTACTCACACAACTCAATGGCAAAAAAAAAACAATCCGATTTAAAAATGGGCAGAGGGGATGCCGGGGTGGCTCGGGACGCCTGGGTGGCTCAGCGGTTGGTTGGGTGTCTGCCGTCAGCCCAGGGCGTGAACCTGGGGTCCTGGGATCGAGTCCTGCACTGGGCTCCCTGCATGGAGCCTGCTTCTCCCTCTGCCTGTCTCTGCCTCTCTCTGTGTCTCTCATGAGAAAATAAATAAAATCTTAAAAAAAAATGGGCAGAGGATCTAAATAGGCATTTTCCAAAGAAGACATACATGTGCCCAACAGGTACAGGAAAAGGCATCATTAATCAACAGGAAAATGCAAATCTTAAAAAGTGAGGTATCACCCCACACCCGTCAGAGTGGCTGCAATCAACAGCCCAAGAAACAACAGGTGAGGATGTGGGGAATAAGTAAGGAGTAAGGAGCCCTCCTGCACTGCTGGGGGGAACGCAGGCGGGCGGCCACCGTGGAGAGTTGAACCCAGAGCTGCCCTACGACCCGGCAATCACACTGCTCGGTATTTACCAAAAAAAACCCCCAAAGACACTAATTCAAAAAGATAAATGCACGCCTGTGTCATTTGTTTACAAGGGCTAAGGTAGGGAAGCAGCCCCAGTGCCTGCGGACTGACGCTGGACAGACAGGATGCGTGTGCACAGAGGACGTCACTCGGCTGTAAAGCACAACGAGATCTCGTCATCTGTGACAACGCGGATGGGCCTCGAGGGTGGAACGAGGAGCAGAGTCAGTCGGTCAGAGGGAAACACACACCACGTGCCCTCGCGCGTGGAATCTTGAACCTGAGCTCACAGATGCAGACGACAGACTAGCGGCTGCAGAGGGGGACAGGGCGGGTGGGACGGTCGGAGGGTGCGGACTTCCAGGTGCAGAGCGGAGGAGCCCCAGGGTGTCGCGACAGCGTGCTGATGGCGGTTAGAAACGCCGTGTCGTGGGGCATCTGGGGGGCCCAGTCGGTGAAGTGTCTGCCTTCAGCCCATGTCGTGACCCCGGGGTCCTGGGATCGAGTCCTCCGTCGGGCTCCCTGCTCAGTGGGGAGTGTCCTCCCTCTCCTTCTGCCTGCTGCTCCTCCCTGCTCATGCTCACTCTCTCTCTCTCTCTCTCTCTAATAAGTAAATAAAATCTTTTAAAGAATACTGACTTGTACATTTGAAAAATGCTAACATAGTAAATCTTCAAAGTTCTCATCACAAGAAAAAAATTTGTGATTATGTAGTGATGAATGCCAACTAGATTCACTGTGGTGATCACTTCACAGTATACATAAACATCAAATCATTGTGTTGTGCACCCGAAATTACTATTCTATCGTAATTATGTCTCAATTCTTAAAAAATAAGTAAAAGAAATTAATTCTTAGAGATGTGATAATGACATTCTTTGTTTAAAGAAATAATATGGATGCCTGGTGGCTCAGTGGTTGGGCGCCTGCCTTCAGCCCAGGGCGTGACCCCGGGGTCCCGGGATCGAGTCCCACATCGGGCTCCCCCGCAGGGAGCCTGCTTCTCCCTCTGCCTGTGTCTCTGCCTCTCTCCGTGTCTCTCTTGAATAAATAAAATCTTTTTTAAAAAGTAAAGAAATACTAAAATCCATACAAATAAGATGTGATGTCTGGCATTTGCTTCCAAACTCTCCGAAGGGAGAAGGGGGCGGCCAGGCGGGGACACAGCCAGGACCTGGGTTGGTCCGTGCTGAACAGCCTGACGGGAACACGGGGTCATTACGATGCTGTTTCTGAATGTTGGTGAGGCTGTTGGGGCCCAGAGTCCACGGCTTCCAGTCACCCCACACGACTGGCCTGCAGGTGGCGGGACAGCAGGGGACTTCTCAAACCCCACGAGCAGTGAACGTCACCCAAAGATCCATACACGGCTGCCCAGAGGAGTCCCCAAACCATGCCGAGGGCAAGAAGCCAGGCAGGGGCCCAGGAGCGTGGCTAACTTTGCACAGAGCGTCCGTGGCAGAAAGGGAGACGTGCCGCGGCGCCCGTCCGAGCAGACACAGCCGGCCAGGGGCTCCCTGGGCTGGGGCGGGGGGCACCGGGTCACCCTGCCTGCCGCCTACAGGTGGGCTCATGGCACAGGTGAGTCACATGTCATCAAGTCAGCTGAAAACCACTCCCCGAACGGTACCTGTGGGTTGGTGCACCTTATGGCGTGTGCCTTTCACTCCCTTCCCCCTAAAATACTATGTTGGACTCTCACTCAGTGTTTGATGACGAGCGCCCATGCAGCACGGGGAGGCGGCCCCGCCCAGAGCAGTGGGCAGAGGGCCAGCAAGCGAACGGCGCGTGTTAATGTCCTGCACGGTGCCCTTCACCTGCTCTGCTGGGCACCATTGTGAGGCTGCGGTGGACACCCGCGCTGCTGGGGTGCCCACAGTCCCCGCGAGTCCAAGCAACAGTCCCACTTACACCGTCCCCACTGACGGGAGCTCCGGGACAGCTGTCCTAGGGCACCAACCGTCACACGGCATTAGTGGCAAGACGGCAAGCCCAAATTCTTCAGTGCCCACCGTGTGCGGGCAGCACAGGGCGGAGGACGGTGGTGCCGCTCAGTACGTCAACCCTGCGGCCACGTGAGCGCGGCACGAGCCAGGCCGGCGGGGCTCGGGAGGAGGGGAGCCGACACCCACACGCACAGACTCCGCTGAACCCCCGCTGGAGCGGCGGGCCGCCTGTGCCCACCTGCAGCACGCGGCTCATCCACTGGAAGCTGTCCTCCTCGGAGGCGTCGGGCCGCTGCTCCGCCACGAGCACGATCCGGTCGTCGTGCAACACCGTCACGGAGAACACGGCAATCCTGGGGGAAGACAGGACAGAAATGACCACCCAGCAAAGGTCGGCCAACGGGCCACAGACGCCCCCTCCCTGGACACGCAGGGTGCGGCCGTGCTCGTGCTGCCCGTGGAGAGCTGGCAGGCTGACCCCCCGGGGCTCCGGCAGCACAGCTGCCACAAGCTCCAGTCACTGCACACGGACGGCTCCGGAGCAAAGTAAACCACCGAGCACAGATCTTCAAAAGAAAACTCCCTAATTAGGATGTTAACGCGTGCGGCGCGCCGTGGGCGCAACCATCTGTCCAGAGGTACTGCCGCCGTGTCCCTGGTCCACTGCCCCCTCCTCCCCCTGCTCACTGTGCTCCAGGGATCTCACGCTTTCCCTGTCCCCGCACTTGCGCCGCGGGCCTCTCACACTTGCCCTTGGTCAGCCCTCTTCCCCTATCAGACACTCCTCCACCCAAGGACATTCGTGTTACAACGCACAATTAGGGGGCAACCGGATGAACATAACATCTAAGTTAAAAACTCCCTTCGAGAACTTAACGGCATCGCTGCTCTGCCACCTTCCTGAGCCCCAGCCGGGGAGTCTCAGGCCCCCCACGAGCCCGGGTCAGTGGACAGGTGCAGACAGACCGCTCCTCGGACCGCCCCAGTCCCGCGTCTCAGATGCGGCCCCTGTCCTGTGCACGGCCCCTCCCAGGACGCCCTCCTCCCAGGACACCCTCCCTGCACCCAGGATGCCCTCCCGCACCCAGGATGCCCTCCTCCCAGGACGCCCTCCTCCCAGGACGCCCTCCCAGGCCCCTCCTCCCAGGATGCCGTGCGCCCAGGGCTGCTGTTCAGATGACAGCCCCTCCTCTTTCCCCACCTCTCTTGATTCTTTCCTTTGAAACTCTTTTTTTACTTCTGGATAGTTCCCTCATCTGCCCTCCAGCTGGCCTCTCCCATTTCTTCCACCTATTGTGTGTGCTTCAGAACAGAAACCTCGCCGCCCGGGCTTAGTTACCACATCCTCCTCCCAGGACACCTCCCTCCCAGCAAGGCCCCCCCGCTAGCTGCGGCACGTGCTCTACCGGCTCCGGCTCTAGTTCTATGTCTTTAGCGAGCAAGCGAGCGCCAACAGGGGAGGTGGAGGTGGAGGCAGAGCCCGATGCAGGGCTTGGTCTCACAACCCTGAGGTCACCGCAGAGCTGACTCTGAAGTCAAGAGTGACACTTCCCCGGGTGGGCCGCCCGGGCGCCTGCACCCTACGTCGGGGTGGCTGTGGCGCTGGAAGCGGCAGGGACCATCCCTCACAGCCCACGTCACTCACCCGGCACCGCCGCTCAGGGCGTGGCCGCTCAGGCTGGGCTTCCCCTCGGGCCCGTCAGGCCCTGGGCCCTGGCCCACCCAAACGCACTGCCCCGTGGATGCCCCCCAGGTCACGTGCTGGCAGCCCCCCGGCACCGCCAGGCCCGCCCTGCTGCCTCCCCGTGCTGGCGCCCCACACCCCCGGGGCACGCATTCCCTGCGGCTTCCTTAGGGAAGGTTCGCAGGCGGCGTCGGGCCAGGCTCCGGGGCCCTGGCCTGAGCAACAGGGGCACAGGCCCGAGAAGACGGTGACACACGCAGCCAGCTGAGCAGGCCAGTGAGGACAGGGCCAGCCACGGCTCCCCCGCACCCCCAGCCCCCCAGGGTCGAGGCCACGACGGGAGGTGCCGGCCTAACACATCCAGAAACGCGGGGCCGATGCCCACCCAGCAGTGACGCGGCCCCTGCGTGCATCTCACTGAACCTCAGCGGGAAAGAGCATGGACCTTCGGCGGTTCCAGAGAAACGGCCCTTGGCTGTTTCTGTCTGCGTGTCTGAGCGTCTAGGAGCCGACGCGGGTGCTGCTTGGGCCCCGTCCTCAGAGAACCCGCGGCCATGGGCAGTGAGGACACTAAGGGGCTCCTGGCTGCAAATATCGTTCTTTCCTCCGTGGAGATTTTCTGATGAACAGGGATTTTTAAGGCTGTGTGTATTCCAATCACCCGGCTTTCCTTCTACCGCAGGCAGATGCTCGAACTTCGACAGAGAAGGGACCTAGAGCCACAGCACAGGGGCCCGCAGCGCATCACCTGCCTCTGTAGACAAACTTCATGGGCTCCACGGCCAGCGCGGTGGCCACGACGTCGTCCGCGTTGTGTCGACGAACTCCAACCACCATCAGCCCGTCCAGCTTGCCCACGACAAACACCAGGTCGTCCTGGAAGCAAGGTCACGGGTCAGGACTCGGGCGCCGACGGCACGCACAGCACACGCGTGACCACGGACGGGAAGGACCCACCGCCTCGGGCAGGGCTCCCAGCTCGGCCCCGGGGGCGTTCGGGCCGCCAGCCCTGTGTCGTGGGTGCCGCCTCGCGTAGTGCGGGACGTGGAGGGCACCGGGCCCCTCCCTGGGCTGGGGGTCTCCTGTTGGGAGGCCCGGGTACCGGCAGCAGAACAGACTCACCGGCCCGACGAAGCCCAGCAGCCCCGTCCTGGTGAAAGGCCGCTCAGACACGGGCGCCCCACCTGCCGTGAGCGGGACGGTCTGCAGAGCAGGGAGGGGACAGTTAGGTGGCGGCGCGTGGACAATTAACCACCGGCCAGGAGAGCCGGGGATCCCTGGTGGGGAACAGGCCGCCCCACGGCCGGGTCTCTCGGGCCCTGTGCCCGGGTGGCCTGCGATCTCCTGCCACCCCCGCCCCGCGCACCCCCTGGACTCCTCCCCACCGGCCAGAGCTCCCGGGCCAACCCTACGCCCAGCAGGCTGTGGACCAGGGCACGGGCCCACGCCGTGGGGACGCTCACAGAGCGCAACCTCAACACCATGGTCGGGAAGGTGCGGACCTCAAAGACACTCTTAGTGATGCCGAGCAGCCCGTAGTACGCCGTGCCCGTGGCGCTGGAATGGACACATATTTCTCCAACTTCATCGGTCTTACAGAGATAAGGGGCACCTTCTACCTTCACGACACACACGTCCGCTAAAGAGAGGAAAAAAAAAAACCCTCAAAATCATAAACGAGAGATACAGTCACACGGGTGACTCACAAAGATCACCTGCTGCTACACCTGCAGCTTCGGGAATGACGCGCCACACGTGCGACACACTCCTCCGAGTCGCAGGATACACGGGGCCCACGCTGTGGCCATGGGCGGGTCTCTGCTTCCGTGTGGTGCGTGACCAGAGCACGCCGCAGCCCCGCACCTGCAGCGCCTGGGTCAGGGGGCAGCCCCGCTGGACAGCCCTGCCCGGGGGGTCCACGCTCAGCCTCCAGGAGCGGGCGTGGGCCAGAAGCACCCGTCAGACTCAGGGAGCCTGTGCTCACCCGGCACCGCCTCACCCAGACTCTCGACTTTTCTCAGACACACTCCCACCTCCAGAGGCGGTAAGCGAGCGGACAGGAGGGGCGCTCACGCACACCGCAGGCCACAGGCAGACACCACGCGGGGGGCGCACGTTCAGGTGGAGGGGCTGCGCGTGTGCACGTCCCCATGACGGAGCCCTGGGCGCACGGCAGACATGCACAGCCCACGGCACAGAGCCACCACCCCTGGGCTACACGCCAGGGGACACAGCCCCTGGGGCACATGCACACAGGACACACCAGGCAGCTCTGCAGCAGTCACAGCTCACAGATGCCGTGAGAGCGGGGTGCACACTCACACTTGCACACATGCACACACACCACATCCAGGGGAGCACTTGCACACACACCCAGGTCTAGGGGAGAGCCCTGCATACACACAGGTCTAGGGGAGCACTTGCACACACACCCAGGTCTAGGGGAGCTCTGCACACACACACAGGTGTAGGGGAGAGCCCTGCACACACCAGGTCTAGGGGAGCACTTGCACACACACCCAGGTCTAGGGGAGCTCTGCACACACACACAGGTGTAGGGGAGAGTCCTGCACACACCAGGTCTAGGGGAGCACCCTGCACACACACCCAGGTCTAGGGGAGCACCCTGCACACACACACAGGTCTAGGGGAGAGCCCTGCACACACCCAGCTCTAGGGGAGCGCCCTGAAACACATGCATAGGGTGGGTCAAGACAGCTGTCCACGAATCTCAGGAGGGCCCAATGGCAAGGAAGATGCTGGAAGCTATGGTCACCACAGGGAGGGGCACCCTAAGAGCAGCATGATCAGAATATCCCCCACTCACAACTGTCACTGGGCCTCCTGGGCCGGGCTCAGGTCTCAGTTTCCCTCTGGGACACTGCACACAGAGCTGCAGGCAGGCTGCTCCATCACCCCTCCCTGTGGCACGGCCCATGTGGCTCCGGGGGCAGGAGGGTCCTTGCAGGCCTCTCCTGGAACCCACAGGAACTTCTTGGAGCCTCCAGGCTCATGCTGCTGACGTGACACATATGCCATAGCCTGAGGACAGACCCCACCATCAGGCTGCAGACACCCGCGCACTGCAAGGTGTGAATGCCTCCGTGTGCACAGCACGAAGCCTTGCCTGCGTGTAGTCAGAGCTCCATTTCCCAGACCCTGGAGAACCACTAATCAGGGTCAGAGGGCACAAACGTACCCTTGTAACTTTGCTCAACCGTAAATTTAATACAAAGGCAGGCAAAAAACTGAAAAAAAAAAAATTAAATTAAATCCTCAATTTACATAGAAAAACACTGTTAAGAAGCTTTGTACTGGAGCGCTTGCAGAGCACTCGCACGAAGCCTGGAGCGTTTATGACACCGGGTACGTCGACCAGCTGCAGGGCCGGACACGCTCCAGCTGCGTCTCTCACCTCCAGGGAGCACCTGGCCAACGTCCTGAACGGTAAGAACCGACAACTTTTCTTCAGTATCAACTCTGATCACACCAAAACTGAGACCGTTCATGGAGAGGACAGCTTTCCTCGGTGGAGGTCCTCCCAGGTCCGGCGGCCTGGAAGACAAAAGCAGAGTAGCTGACAGGGGACAGCCATGCCCGCCTTGCCTGCAGAACGACGCTGCACCAAAGCCCCTGCTCTGCAGCCTCACCCTGCGAGGACACTGGCCGCAAGACCGAGGATGCTGCGGCACGTCCGCCCCACGTGCCACTCTGCCGGGGGACCTGCATTCTCCTCCCACCTGGAGGCAGGCTGGAGTCCCTTCCTGCATCTGGGGGGCCTGTGGCAACAGTCTAAGTGACACCAGGTGACTTCCCTGGTCATAGAGGTGACTGAGCCTCCAGCTGCCAGGGGCCCTGGGCAGCCCGGTGTGCGGAACGACACGCTCGAGGGAGCCTGGGGCCGCCCACTCGTCCAGTCCAGACGCCATCCAGCCACAAGCCGGCCCCGCCCCGGGAGCCCTTTCTAAACCCGATGCGGGAACGCAGCAGAAATACAGTGGCCGCTGCCAGCAGGCGGGGGGTGAGGGGTCACACGGCCGGAGCTGGGACACTGAGAAACAGAGGTCAGTATTTTCTCCAGTAAGAAAAAGCAGACTGTTGAGCAAAGGAATGAGGAATACCTCACGGTTCACTAAGGATAAAGATGTTACTTTTCTGGCTAAGTTAATAAAACCTTAGGATTATTGAATAGTTGTACATATGAAAGCACAGGCTGCCCACGAACACGCTACTGTAACACAAGACAACAACCTCCGCTAATTTTCAGCTGTTAAGCTGAGTGGAGGGTAGAAAATTCATGCAGAGACTCAGCTGGGGGCACAGGGCGAGGCCGCTGTGGACAAGAGCCCCAGGGCTGGCGAGCAGCTGGGGGAAGGGGAAGGCGGCCTGGAGAGGGAGGAAGCACCTGCCAGCACCCTCGAGGCTGAGATGCTTCTCCAGGACGGCTGGCCCAGCAGGCACAGAGCCCCGACCAGGGCCTGCAGGCGCGGCAGGTGCCAGGGGTCCCTCGGGGCCAGGAGGAGCTCCAGGCGGCCCGGCCCTGCTTACAAAGGTCAGGGAGGAAGAGGAGCACTCAGGGCGAACAAGCCTGTGGACGGCGAGAACCAGGGGCATGGCCCCGGGAGCCGCTTGCCCCCACGTGTGGCACGAATCCAGGCTGGCGTGGGACAGGCGGCCAGCACGGGACGTGGGGCACGGGGATAACCCATATGGGCTGCCCCATAACCACGCTCACCCGCCTGGGGAAGCGGCCCGATGGGAGCGCTGCTCGGGGAACTCCGCTGCTCAGACACAGACTGACCGGGTCTGGGCCCAGGGGTCCAGCTGTCGAGGAGATGACCACCTTACCTGCGGATGGCAACTGTCAGCGCCTCAGGAGAAGTGGCGCAGGGACAAATGACCTCTGGCCTCAGGCCTCTGGACTGGAAGACATTGAGGAACGCGTCACAGGAGGATATGGACCCTGCGTCGGACAGAGAGCCGTGGGTAAGTGCAGGGCCGGCGGGGGCACGCGGGAGTCTTGCAGGGGGGCTGTTGCCATGGAAAACATGATGCACTTTGAAACCACCAGCACTTAAGAGCCGGCAATTCTCAGGGAAGGCCTACGTGGAAGCCCTGCGCCCTGCCCTCGCCCCAGCTCCTCACGGGGCCGCTGAGCGGGAACCGGCTGAGGAGCACTTACGGGGTCAACTCGCTCATCACGAGGCTCAGGGGCACGTGGTCACCCCACCCACCCCCCGCTGTCCCCATGCTGCCCCCTGCGGCTCCCCCAGACCCCAAGCACCCCGCCGCAGCGAGGCCAGGGGAAAGCTCAGGCTGGGCACCAGCGGTGGCAGGGGACACGCAGGACAGCCCAGCTCACTCGGGGCCAAGGGGCCTGGAGGGCACGCGGACTGGCAGGCTCTCAGGCCTGGGGAGGGCTTCCCACGGGGAGTGAGGTGGGCCAGGTGAGGAGGTGCTGGCGGCGGGCAGAGCGGGGGCCACATGGGGGTGTCTTGGAAGCAGGAGGCAGGGCCCTGCTGGGCCAGGGGTGGGTGGAGGATGGCAGGCGCCTTCCTGGGGGTGAGGGACCCAGGGGCAGGGCTGTTAGGGTCTCCCGGACAGGGGACCAGGTGCAGGCGGCTTCAAAGAAAAAACAGTGGCTCATGGCTATTAAAGCCTCCTACCTGGTCAAGGGCTTTGTGCTGCACAGAAGCCCCTGCAAAGGTCACCGAGCCTCCCCAGAAACGCCTGTGGCAGGCTTCAGCCAGCCGCCAACGTGCAGCCACACTCAGACCCCGTGCACACAGCCCAGGGTGCACAGCGGCACACCAGGGAGACCCCCCGGGAGGTCAAGCGGGTCTCTGGGGCCACAGGGGCCAAGGACGGAGGCTGGGACAGGCTCCCAGCCGTGTCTCCAACCTGGCCGTTTCTCAGGGTATCTTCTGTCCATAGTGTTAAGTCTGCGTGTAAGTTCAGTGCCTGACAGACACGCACGAGCTCTGTGAGCCCCCGGGAGAGGGTGCGTGCCACGGTCCAGTGCAGCACACGTGCGGGCACGGGACACGCAGCGTGGTCTCAGCACGTTCTGCTCCCACCTCGTCCCTCCCACGTCAGGCCTGCAGGATGCAGTCACGGCCTCAGCCCGCGCTCAGCTGGGCTTACTCACAGGGGTTAGCGCCGTCGGCCACGATCAGCATGCGCAGGGAGCTGAGGCTGACGTCCCTCTGACCCCGCTGAGCTAGGAGAGACCAGTGCATGTCGCGGGACTTCACCAGCGCGGCCCGGGCTGCAGAGGGGGAGCACAGATGCGCCCGGCGTCACGGCCAGCGGCACCCCGCACCTCCCACCGGCCGGCACGCCGAGGGCAGACGCGCAGGCATGTGCCCCAGCCACACGCGCTCGGCAGCCTCGGCCTGGCGCTCTAGGCGCCTGTACCCGCTGTACTGAAGAACCAGCTCCGAGTTCTGATTCTGACACAGAAAACTCAGGCCTGCTTCCGAGCGGGACTTCCTGGGGAAGCTCTGTCCTGCCCAGCAGCAGCTCCCCTGCCCCTCCCGCCCTTCCCTGAGGGCCGACTCACGCAGCCGGGCGCTGGGAGGACGCCAGGACGTGAGCACACAGCCCTGGCTCCCGGTCCTGGCCGTGCCCAAACCAGCGGGCGCACCTGTTCCAGCTGCCCTCCGTAAGACAGAGTCAACGGAGCCGGCCAGCACCCAAGGCCGCGCCCGAGAGGCAACGGCCCACTGTCCGCGCGCGGTAATGGCACCGTGGCCAGCCGAGGCAGCCCCGTGGCCCGTCTACACTGTCCTTGGAATCAACAGCTCTGCTACTGGTGGCTTAACCAGCCAGAGCTTCAGATTAAAACCATCTCCATGCTAAGAACTGGGAGTACTGATGTAACTGTAAAGAACATTTCAAGAGAATAAAATCAGCAGCCTGTGGCCCTTGCAGAAGAGAGCTGTCACGGTGCCGCCCTCCACAGAGGATGCCCGGGCCGCGAGCGCGCATCAGGCGGCGTCCACGACCGGTCGCAGGGCATGTGGGCAGGCGTGCGGGCCGTCAGGGCTCCTCAGCACAGGTCTGCACATCGGCGGACACCTGATGAAGGATGAGTCAAACGATGGTGCTGTTTCCTGTTACCTTTGTACGAACACACTTTCTGAATCCAGGACAGCGGGTTGACCTTCATCAGTGCGTAGGGGATGCTGATGACGTGCATCCTGTTCATGACGCTCTGTGGAAGAAACGGAAGTGCTCAAGGGACAGGCCCGCTCGGGCGCAGACAGCAGGGGCCACACCGCGCCAGAGAAGGCAAAGGTTAACACCAGCGCCCTTCTCATGATGACACTCCAGGTAAGGATTAATTACGTCACCTAAATTGGGGTTTGGTGTCATCTATTGATACGAAGCCTTAGGATCCCTCAATTCCAACAAGTAGGTCATTTAACATACAACACTCACTGTTAACACTCCATGCCACAGACCAGCATCCCTTTTGAAATCCAGCACATTTGTTAATGTCTCAGCTGAAAGTGGACAAAGATGGTTAAACCGCTTGTGACCCTCTTCACAAGTCATGTGCATTTTCAAAGATACTCTGAGATGAATACACGACTGATCGACACGAAGAGCTCTAGGAAACATTCACAGCATTTCCAAACACCATGCACCAGTTAATCGATTGTCTTGGTTTTCTATTCAAATTAGCAGAAACACTCAGAGGCAGGTCATACAATTTTGGATGAAGACAGAGCCGCGCTGATCACTAATCTGAAAACATGAGAAGGCCCCTGAGTGTCCCGAGCAGCCGCTGGAGGCTGGAGGCTGGAGGCTCGCGGCTGGGGCGCGCCGTGGGGCCTCGTCAAGGGAGCTGCTCCTCCCCCCTGCTCTCCTCCAGGACGGGGGGCGGGTGCGAGCCTGTGCTCTGCAGGACCTGGCTCCAGCCCCCCCAAAGCACAGCAACCCAGGAGCACCCACAGGATAGACTCCGACGTGAACACACGGCTGCTGCGCTCTCAGCCCGCATCTCTGCTCACTCGCTCCCTCTGCCAGCGAGGCCCAGTGACGCAGGACGCACACGTGGCAAGAGGAGGAAACCACGTGACTTGATTTAATAGATCTGATTTTCAAAAAATCATTTCAGGCCCTTGAGTATACCTAAAATCGTCCTCCAGATCTCCCCGACTTTTACACACCTGTATTTTACTCACGCAAATACACCATCCAGCTTACTTTCTAGTTTTACTGGATTCTAATATCGTTATAGCCGGGAAATGACCGTGTATCCATTTTTTTTTGTTTTTTAAAATAATAATTCTCTAAGTTAAATATGATATTGAACAGTGTACAGATGGGTCAGCCACCGACATGTTACCAGCGGAAAATCTATGACCTTTCAGATTCTGTTTGTGTATTTGCATGCACAACAGTTTAGTCAAAACCACAGTCATAGACAACAGTGATATGAAAGTGGGTCCCGTAGGATAGTTTTCCTTTTATTTAAATGCAAAATACACGGTGCCTCAGCGACGGCACAGACTGCTCCGCCCACCGGGCATAAATAAGTGCTAGTGTATGAATTTCATTCTCCATAAAATCAACACACACATGAATTTACCAGAAATGACCCTGAGTGGGGCTCCCATGACCTAAGAGCCACGCATCCAGCACAAGCAAAGGGCGCCCTGAGCCCCGCAGCCCCCACCCCGGGGTCCCCGGGGGCCTGTGTGCAGCTGGAGGAGCCACCCCACACTCTTACCTTCTGAGTAGCCGCAAGCCTGCGTCAGAGCCCGGCACTGTGCCAGCAGCGATGCATGGGACACCGTGACCCCCACAGTGCTGCCTTCTTTGCTGGTTTTATACTAAAAGATTTCAAGGAAAGAATCCATCATGTGATTTCTGGAGGTCACGGCAGACAGAGGGCGGCCGCCAGCCCTCACTAAGCGCCCCGGCGGAGCGGAGCACGTGTTACACCCAGAGGAGTCGGGGGGCTCCCCGGGTCTGCTCGAGCCGTGTGTGCAGGGTGCCCCGTAACCGCTGCCACCCACCCCCAGCAGCCAGCGGGGCACCATCAGAGGAGTGAACCACGTCTGACTGAGCTCCCCCACGACCCTTTCTGCTTCTGGGATGAAGATAAAACAAAAGGTCCGTTTAAGCCTGGGATCAAAGTAAGTGGCAGTTTGCAGCCTTCAGAGAAACAAGGGCTGCGCCCCAGCAAGAGGAGGTCATTACCTCAATGTAGGCCGTCCCGGCCCCTGCGTCCTGTGCCTGCGGGTGCCAGTCTTTGGGGGGCTTGGTCAGATGCTTCCCGTCGATCACCAGCCAGGCGAGCGGGGGCCATCCTGGGAGGGCGCAGACAGGGCACCCGGCCCAGGAGAGTGGTCAGCGGCCTCTGAGCTGAGCCACCCACCACGCGGTCACTGGCTCCTGCACACCCGGGGGGCGAACGTCTCTGTGCTGCTCACTCTGTATCAGCTTCTATTAATTCAGTCGGTGCCTCTGACAGTGACGACCAAACTGCACGGGCCTACACTCCGAACCCGGGGACGTGCAGGGCAGCCAGATGGGCAGCCCCTGGAGGAGGACCTCACTCCTGCTGGAGACCCCTCACCCCTGCGAGGTCCACCTGCCCTGAGCAGGTGCCTGGGCATCGCAGGCCGACTCCCCTGCACTCGGGGGCCTACCTTTGAAAGTCGCCACCTCTCCGGTCTGTGCCTTGGGCAGGCCCTTCTGACAAGCATCCGTGGTCAGGGCCAGGGTGACACCGCAGCTGCCCAGCAGAAAGCCAACCTGCTGGCTGCCAGCGTCCTACAGAAAACACAGGGAGGGGCTCATGGGGCCGTCAGGCACCCCCCCTCCCGGCCCCCCGCACACCCAGGAGGGCGAGCCTCATCATCAATCGCCCTCATAAGCTTCTACGACTGAATCCCATATGCGGATAGACTGCATTTTCATGAAAATAAAATATAATCATTTTTAAATTGAAATGGTATATTTTTGTAATGAGATAAAAAGTTCTGGATGATGGGCCAATTTCTCAGTGTTTTTTTGCAAATGACATTTAGCAGCATTTTAAGAAACTCCAAAAGTAATGGCATGGAAATTTCCACTTAAATCATGTTTAGAATTTATAGATTAACGTGGAGGGGCCCGACCTTTGACACGATTACTTATTTCCCACGGAACGCATGTTTCCTTTCAGTCAATGCCTCTTTCATACGTGCTCCCCAGTAACATTTGTCACTTTCTTCTTGCAAGTTTGACAAATCTCTTGCTTTTTTCTTGAGAATCTCTATAGTCAAATATTTGCTCATCGTGTATTATCCTTTCAGATTTACTGGTTTATTTCCAACTTCACTTTGGGGATTCTTGAGTATTTGTTGCTGATAACGCTCACTTTAACCACCTGATAGGGTACAAACTCTAATCCTCTAAAGTACATGCCTTGTCTACTCCTAAAATAATAATTTTTTTCAATCATCAGATTACTGACATTTATACCTGAAACACCTGCACTCGTCCTTTGTCAGTAATAAAAACAGCAGGTGGATAGAAAGGCAAGCTCCCATCCTGCACGTTCAGAACTGTCACCAAGAAGTGAGCTACAGTCCATCCCGGTGCCATTTATTCATCCCCAAGAAACAAAAATCATTATTGATAAGCTGTGGTCTTGAGAGACAGTTTAACAAAATCTTATCAAATCATAAATTCTATTACTCAAGGACAAAGGGCCACCACGTGCGCTGAGACGTTCTCAGAGGTGACGGAACAGCTCTCTGTAGAGCTGCGGGAGACCTCGCCAACGAGACACGCGAGGCAGAGGAGCTGCCGGCCACGGCACAGCACGGCACGCTCCCGGCGCCCTGGCCTGCCGGCAGCCCCTCCTCTCTCAGGGCCGCTCCCATCCGCCAGGAAGGCAAAACGAGACCCGACGAGTCTGTGTGTTGGCTTTGGAAGGGAACCCCGCGGCACCGAGCGAGCGAGCGAGCTACCTTTCTCGTTAACGGCACCTCTATGGGGACAGGAACCAGCTCTGCCAGCAGACACCCATAAAATGCCACCATGAACATCACGGGGTCACTGTTTGGAAACACCAGGGCCACCTGCAACAGTACAAAGGAAAACCATGAAACCCCTCGCGGATGATACAGTCATCGCAACGTTCACAATCTTTACTGAGTAGAGGGATTTGGACATTTTAGACGATCTAACAGCTTTTCAAATTGAGTTCAGAAAATGTCATTTGGAGGTTAATTCTCGGTCCTTAAATTTCCTCATCTTAAATAGTTTTTTTTAAGGCTGCGGTCTTTATTCTACAAGCGACCCAATAATTTCGAGTGTCTGTGCCTGAAGGCAGTCCAGCACGGCTGGCGGGATGGAGAGCTGGCTCCGGGCGCTCCCCATCTGGCAGCTGCAGCTGAGGCTCCCCAGCGGCGCACAGCTCCCCCATCTGTCAGGCCAGGCGAGAAACACGCACCAACAAGCGTGGGCACGGAATCAAATTATACCCAAAATATCTTCCAGAAGATACGATCCTAAGACCAAAGTTTTAATCCAACAGATCCTCACTCACGACAGGGAAGTGGGGGGCGGGCACCGGACACCTCTGCTGAGACCCCCACAACCGCTCCTCCCGGGGAGCCCCTCGATGGCTTGCCTGGTCCCCAGGCTGCCACCGTTTAAGTTATGCGCTCTATTTTATTCATCTCACACTTTCGCTTTTATCAAAGACATTTTAAAAACACAGAATTTAAGATGAAAAAAGTACCCCATACAAAAACCCATGTTCCACCCTTCCCCACTGCCTGAGGGACCCCTCTAAAAGTATCTCACATCTTCCTTTTGCTATTTACTCTCTTATTTTTAAATACTATGCTTACACTGCTATATTTTCATTTTTTGAAAATGTCTCAGTATCAATTTTATTTCCTATGATTGTAGATGAACACCCAGCCCCCTGCAGTCCGTCTCTTTCTCTTCCCCTATCCTCCCAGGTGTCATTTCTTACATCGGGTAAAATCAAAAGCTATTTACGGAACAACGTTTTATAAGCCCCAAATATTGTAATCAGTGTAATTGAAAGCATGAGTGCTAAGTCAGGATGGTTAACACTGGGCCCTGGAGAAGCCCAAACAACGGCTACTAACAACTACTTGGTAAGACAAAATTTAAGCTACACCTAAACTCCCTCCCGGAGGCCTGGAAATCCAGTTTCTAACAAGCTGCTGTGTAGGAAAGGGCAAAGCTCTCCTTTAACAGCTGATGTTAACAGTGGTTGTACGAGAACTGTGACCCACGGCTTCAAGACTAGATGTTTGGTATAAGAACACTCTTAGAGATTTTGTTACGAAGAGCTGTGTGTGTTCACATTTATAGACTGTTCATCACAGGACGATGAACTCTCCAGCACACCTGATAATCAGCTCATTCACTGGGATCCTGCTGATCTTTCATATTAACCTAAGATGTGGATTCCCTCATGCGTCAAGAAGGGTATCTGGAAGTCTCTGTCCTTGCAGGAATTTTTGTCAAGAAAAATAAACAAGTGATTCTCTGAGTCATTTTAAAGCACAACATGAATCAGGAATTCTCACAGGTTCGCTCTAAAGCACAACGTATCAAGGACCGTTCTCGGACTGTGCATGTTTTTACAGCCGAGTACCCATCTGCCGCCGGTAACGGTACCACCACCCTGACATGCTTTGCCTCCTGCGTAGCCACTGGCCAAGCTGTCCTAACGCGCTCCGCCCGATGTGCCCGGTACCTTTGCGAAGTGTGTTCTAAGTGACCAACCAGTCTCCCGGCTGCCCAGCGCACAGCCCTCCGACCCTCGGCCGCCTCGCTGCAGCTCGCTCCTGCCCCCACCCCGGAGGCTCCCAGGCTCCCTCCCGCCCCCCCCACCCCCGGTCCTGCTCGGTTAGTGCCGAGGATGTCGCTGTGGGCCCACTGCATCCCCTGCAGGCCCCGTCCCTTTGAGGCGGACTCTCTCCAGCTCCGGGATGCTGGGCGGCAGTGGCCACCACTCAGAATCCTCTGCTCTGCCCCCCTCCCGTCCGGAACTCCTACCAGCTGGTGCTGGACCTCCTGGACAAGGGCTCGGCTTTGCACTGTCCTCCCCACTTTCTAGCTCTTGGTCTTCCCCACAGGCATCTTTTTCTTGATTTATGGAGCAATGTCTTCCCTTAGTTCTCCAGGGATATTAAGACTAAGTTTTTAAAACTTTATTTTCTGTATATGACTTTCTCTCACATTTGTTTCCTCCTCCTCCCTCCTTCCCCCTACATTCCTCCTTTCTTCTTTTCCATTCCTTTGCCCATTGGTTGTTTTCCTTCGCATTCTTCAAATGTCCTTGGTGACTGGCTCTATCTGAAGAGAGTCCCTGTGAGGCCATCTGACCGCAGGCAGCCTCTCTCACTAGGGGTTTCACTGCGAGGGTCCCATGCTCCATCATGGATGTTCGGGAATACCTGCCTTCAGTCCGCCCAGGGCCATGCTCACCAACGGAACTTCCTGTGGGGCTGGGGTGACTGAGGAGCTACATTCTTCATTTTACTTAATTTTGGTTAATTTCTGTAGCCCTGTGTGGCGACTGCCAACAACGCTGGGCAGCGTGGTCAGTACAAGGAACAAAGAAGCCTCGAGCCTCCTCCATGCTCTACCCCAGCCATGAGGAAGGAAGGCTGCCTGGCCACATGGACGAGAGGAAGACATGAATTTTCTAGTAAGGGCAACATTTTCGCATCAAACATCAGCTTTGGGGACCTAAGATTTATTAACTTCAATATTTTTATTAAAAGCAGTAGATATGAAGTCCAAGAGGAAAGATGTTGCAGAGCCACTGGATGGGCAACGAAGAAGCATGAAAAGAACCATTATCTTACGTACATCATAGTCAACCTTTTCCATATTTAATATTTCTTCTTTGCTAACTTTAAATCCCTTGTATTAATGCTGCAAGTCTAACCAACGGATGGAATACTGATTCCAATGAGACATATTTTTAGAGTCTGTTTTTGCTCACTCCAGGAAGTTATATTCTAGTTACTTACTCTGTCTCCAGGGTTAAGTAGTGGTTCATTCTTACTAGTCAGTTTATTAAGTAGAGTATAAGCTAGTTTTAAACTCCGACTCCAAAGTTTGCCTAAAATAAAATAAAAATACTAAGCAATGTAAAATTTAAGAAACTAATAATTAACATTTTAATGTAGCAATCATAATACCCCATAATGTACCATCACTCTATTACTGGAAATTCAGGTAATTTCCAACTGATAACTATTTTGCACAATGCTGTAATGAACATCATAGTTTTCTCTTAAAAATAACTTACAAATATATTTTCCTTAATACAAATATAGAATAGGAATTTATTATAGAAAATTTAGAACATAGAAAAGCTAATAGAAAAGTCAGCATTCTCTCGGTTATGTATGTACACACACACACACACACACACACACACAGCATATATATACATATGTGCAATCTTCAAGAAATGGGACCATACTTCACTCTGTCTTTTTCAGCCAACATTGCATTTAAAATGTGTTTTCATGTCATTCAATATCTCTCAACTACATCCCTTATAGGAGTGGCTTCATTTAACCTTTATAATTCACAGGATGGGTCGTATCCCCATCTCCAGTCTTGACTCAAGGGAAGACCATCCAGGAAGGGCCAGTAGGCTGCCCAGAGCCGCTGGCTGCTGGCGTGGTGCATCTGGCCCTCCAGGACCCAGCCACGAGCCCTAGCAGGTTCCACTGGGCACACTTCCCCCCGGCACGCAGCCTCATGGAGGAGAGCCCAGCAGTGAATGCTCAACAAAGCAGAGCTCCACTGAGGAAGATGGAAGATGAAACAACGGGAAGGTAAGGAAGACGGACGACAAGTGATAAAGCCCATCTTTTAAAGTCCTATAGAAAATATCATAATTAACGGTCACATATTGAAAGCTTTCCCCGAGGAAGTAGAAACAAGCCAAGAACATCTGCCTTTTTTTTATGGAAAGTCTTAGCCAATGCAGGAAGGGGAGGGGTGGAGAGAGGAGGCACACAGCTGGAAACTAAACTGTCATGACTTGCAGATGATGGGACTATGTACATCATGGTTCTCATAACAAACCGGCAAGGCTGCCAGATTTAACAACAGTATACAAAGTATACAAAGACTATCTGACTTCTGTATACCAGCAATAAACATCAAGAAAAAAATTTTATTTTTTATTTTTTTTAATTTTTTTTTATTTTTTATTTTTTTACTTATGATAGAGAGAGAGCAAGAGAGAGAGGCAGAGACACAGGCAGAGGGAGAAGCAGGCTCCATGCACCGGGAGCCCGACGTGGGATTCGATCCCGGGTCTCCAGGATCGCGCCCTGGGCCAAAGGCAGGCGCCAAACCGCTGCGCCACCCAGGGATCCCAAGAAAAAAATTTTAATGACAATACTCACATTAAGATGAAAACAAACATGCCAAATACCTAAGAGTAAGTGTTATGGAAGATACGCAGTCTCACAACAAGAAAGTATAAAACAGCATCGAGCTGAAGTGCAGAAGATCTGAATGACAGGGAGACATATTAGGTCCATGCAATGCAGGAGTGCTCATTTACAAACTGCTGAGAGCAGTGATAACAGGAATCTCAGCAGGAATGTCCGTGCACTGGACAAGCCGACCCTAAAACAGACACGGAAACATTGAGATACAAGAAGAGCTGAGACACTCTTGCAGAAGGAAGCGAGATGGGAGACTTTTCCGTGGATGTCAAGACTTCTCAGAAAGCCACAGTAATTTAGGAAGTCGGTGCTGGCATAAGGATAGTATATAACACAGTGGATAAAATAAATACCCCAAGAGACCCTCCACATGCAGACAATTCCATCTCTGACCAGGTGCCCTGGAGAGGAGGGGCAGCCCAGTGGGAACGAGAATGGGGAAGATGGTTACCCAGCCTGGTAAACGGACCCTGGGACCCATCCTCTACCCTGTACACAAAACTCATTCCCAGCAGACTGGGTGGATCTAGATGTGAACGGCAAAGAGCAGAGCTGTTACAAAGCCACTTCAAAGTACATACCCCACAAAAACGCGTACCCCAGAATGTTCCTAGCAGCACTGTCTGTAATAGCCAAAAGTGGATACCAACATTATAACCAATATGTCAATTCCGACATGTACATTCTTAGATATAAATGAGCTACAACTATACACAGTAACATGAATCATAAAAGCGTAATGGTAAAAGACTCTGCTTCCTAATGCGACAGAGTACTGGTGGCAGACCAGGCTCCCACCCAAAACAACTTAAAAACTGGATAAAATACAGAAATCATCTACAAAGACAACCAGAGGAGTTAAGGGCAGAGGGAAAACCCTTGGGGAGGTGAGCTGACCGTGCACAGCCGGCGGTTATTAGGGCCCTGGCACCCATGAGAGACAGAGTATTTCATGGAACACTGCCACCGAGGCACAAAGAAAACAGCAGAGCTTCTGGCAGAGGCTGGGAGCCATGATAGCACAGCCAGCCTCCCTCTAGGAAGTCTACGGAGTCCTGGGGCCGTGAGCAACAGGGTGCCGAACACCCACGAGGAAAACCTCTGAGAAGCAAAGTGGAGTCCTTAACATAGCACTCAAGACAGAAGCCACGGCTGGGGAACCCCAGAGGAGGACAGACAGGTGCTCAGAGGGGGCTGCGCCAGCCTTGACGGGACTGCAGTGACCGGCCACCATGCTACCTGCCAAATGGAGGGAAGGAGGATGTTCTCTTATAGAAGAGGACATCTCTGGAGCCTCCATAATTTTTTATACACAATGTCCAACACTCAATCAGAAAGGTCCTAGGCACACCAAAGATAAATTATCCAAACTAAAACCAAGAGAAAGTACAGATGAGATCAACAGGCCGAGAGGTGACCTGACCCTGGAGCAGGTGGAGAGAAACTTCCAGTTGTGGTAAGGAATACATGGATGCTAGGAAATAAAGGAAAAGACGAAGACAATGCATGGAATGATAAAGAATTTAGAATACAGAAGTGAAAATTTTAAACTAAAAGGACAATATCAAAATTAAGAACTCATCAGGAATTTCATAATAAAATAAAAATTTCATAAGATGGGATTAGAGAATTTGAATAAAGGAAAATTTAGGGACACTTGGGTGGCTCAGCTGTTAAGCATCTGCCTTTGGCTCAGGCCGTGATCCTGCTTCTCCCTCTGCCTGTGTCTCTGCCTCTCTCTGTGTCTCTCATGAATAAATAAAATCTTAAAAAAAAAAAAAGGAAAATTTAAATGTCTCCATACTGAAGTACAGATGAGCCTTGAACAACACAGGTCCACCTACCTGTGGATTTTTTTTTTTATAAATACAGTACTATAAGTGTTATTTTTTTTCTTCCTTCTGATTTTCTCAATAACATTCTCTTTTCTCTACCTTACTTTACTGTATGAATACAGCACATAATAAAAACATATAAATGTCAACCAACTGTTCTCAGTTCGCCTTCTGGTCAACAGCAGACTAGTAACAGTTAAGGTTTTGGGGAGTTAAAACTTACACTTGGGTTTTCAAGTGTGCAGGGGTCAGTGCCCCTAACCCCCTGCATTGTTCAAGGGTCAACCAAATATACAGAAAAGAATACGAAATATAAGAAAGAACATTAAAGGTACATAAGGTTCAAAGGAGGTATAACTGTAATCAAAGTCCTAGAAGAAGACAGACCCAACAGCTGAAATCAACTGGTGGAGGCAGTGAGCAAACCACACTCCTCACAGTGGGTAGGGAGCTCCTTTTGTAAAGAATTACAGACCCGCCTCTAATGAATACAGATGCAAAGATCCTAAACAACATATTGGCTAAATCAAATTCAGACATCTGTTGAAGAGATATCATGGCTAACAGGGATTTATTCTAGGAATGCAAGGGCTGCTTTAACACCTGAGAGTTAATCAATTTAATTCATCAAATTAAGTGGGAGGAGAGAGAAACATGATCTTCTTGACAGAGCAAAAAAAAGGGTTTGATAAAATTCAATGCCATTCGTGATTTATTTTTTTTTAAAGATTTTATTTATTTATTCATGAGAGACAGAGACAGAGAGAGAGAGGCAGAGACACAGGCAGAGGGAGAAGCAGGCTCCATGCAGGGAGCCCGACGCGGGACTTGATCCCGGGTCTCCAGGATCTGGCCCTGGACTGAAGGCGGCACTAAACCGCTGAGCCACCCGGGCTGCCCAACCATTCATGATTTAAAAAAAAAAAAAAGAAAGAAAAAAAACTTCTAGTAAACTAGGAATAGAAGGGAGCTTAATTAATCTGACGAGGGATTTTTCTACCACAAAACTACAGCAAACATCGTACTTCATGACCCAAAGCTTTCCACCAAAGACAGAGGAGGAGGCAAGAATGCTCGCTACCCAACACTGTAGTGACAGTTCTAGCTCTTGCAGTGAGGCAAGGAGAAGATAAAAGGGGTAAGTACTGGAAAGGCCAAGATACCATCTTTGTTCATAGATGACATGATTTTGAACACAGGATATCCAAAAGATATGTGGACAAACTACTATTAATAAATAGAAAAAGAATCAGTAAGTTAATTTAATGAGACTATTAGATACAAAATCACCATCTGGGGGCACCTGGGTGGTTCAGTTGGTTAAGTGTCTGCCTTTGGCTCAGGTCACGAACTCGGGGTCCTGAGATTGAGTCCCACGTTGGGCTCCCTGCTCAGTGGGGAGTCTGCTTCCCCCTCTCCCGCTCCCCCTGCTCATGCTCTCATTCCTTCTTTCTCAAATAAATAAATAAAATATTTTTTAAAATCACCATTTAAAAAAATCAATTGCACTTCTATATACAAGCAATAAATGAGCAGAAAAATGTTTTTAACCATTCTACTACAACAGGAATGAATCTAACAAAAGATGCTCTAGAGTTCTGTACTCAGAAGTATAAAACATTAATGAGAGAAATTAAAGGAGTCCTTAAAATAAGGGGAAATACATTAAATTTCCACAGTCATGACTGTTCCACAGTCACGAACTGGAAGATTCCGTAATTGTAATGGTATCAATTCTCTTCAAATTGAACTACAGAATCAATGCAGTGTCAGGCAGTGCCCCAGCAGGAAGCTTTCTGGAAATTGACAAACGGATTCTAAAAATGGCTTGGAAATGCAGAGTCAAGAATAGTCCAGAGGAGTGAGGCACATTCACACAGCTGAAGGGCGTCTATGCCAGACAGCAGGACCCCTAAAGCTGCGGCAGTTCAGGGGGCGCAGAGGGCACAGCACGTACTGTCACCTGATCTGTGACAAAGCAGCTTGGCAGGACCTCGGGGCAAGCTCTGACTGTTCAGCCCATGGCACCAGGCCAGTTAGACATTCGTAAGGAAAGAAAAGGATTCCAATGTCACACCACACAAACTAAAGATGAATTATGACACCTAAATATTAAAAGTAAAACAAGTTTTGTTTTGTTTTGTTTTGTTTTTGTAAAACAAGTTTTTAGATGAAAAAGTAGGAGAATATCTTTGTGACCTTGGGTTTGGCAAACAGAACAAAGAAGTGCTAAAATAAAGGGAAAAAGTAGATAAATCAGACTAATTAGATGAAGACTTCTCATTTATCTAAAGCCACAGATAAAAGTGTTAAAAGACAGGGCACAGGGTGGAAGAAGATACCTGCGAAATATATCTGACAAAAGATGTGTTCCTGGAACATGGAAAGAAGTCAGAAAGCATTAGCAACCAAATAGAAAAATGAGCTAAAGATCTGTATAGTGCATAAAAGAGGATATTCAAATAGCCAATAAACACACAAAAAAGCATCATTAGCTATGAGAGACATGCAAGTAAATTTGCACCGTAACTCGACACCACAACACGCCTAGAGGAAAGGCTAAAGGAAGTAAACAGGCAATATCAAGTGTTGGCACGGGTGTGGCACAGCTGGAGCTGCCTGCCGGCAGGCGTGAAAATACCAGCAGCCTCTGTGGACACCGTGTCGGGATGTCCTACAGCCGAGCACGGCGACCTGTGCACGTCCACGTGCGCCCAGCACCAATGCCTACAGCGTACGCTCAGCAGCAGACTCACCTACGAATGTTCATAACAGCACTATACACAATAGCCTCAGTGGAAATTCCACCCACGGTCGAGGACACAAATAATTTTCAGCATATTCGTACAATAAAGTCACCTCCATCAATGAGCTTCACACGGCATCATGTCTGAGCCTCAGAAACAATGGTGCACAAGCATGCAGACACAGAACGGCTTTCACACGATCCCACTCACATAAAACTTAGCGACAGTGAAACCCAGAGGTGTTCACAGGCATCAGGACAGTTCAACCGTCAGTGAGGATGTGCATAGTGGTAGGGACCAAGGGCCTGGGGAACACTCGGGAGCTGAGTGCCAGCGACAGGAGTATAGTCACTCCGTGAAAATGTATCAAGCCAGATGCTCATGACTTGTGTTACATAAAAATATAATGTGGAACCAAAGATGCTGAATACAAAAACACATACTGTAGGATTCCACCTATACAAAGTTCAAAATTAGACAAAACTAAACTCCCGTGCTCAGAGATGCATATGTAGCTGTGACCCTCGACCTCAGGGCAGGGGATGGTCACCAGCAGTGGGTGAGTAGTCCCCTCTGCTGGAGGAAGGGGCAGTGGGTGGGGGCGGGGGGGGGGCACGTGGACTGAGGCAATGTTCTGGTTTGTGGGCAGTTTTGTTGGCTTCTCAGGATCCGCTCCATCATGCTCATGAAGCTGTACGGCCGTGTTGTATGACATGACAGGTAACATGTTACAGCTAAACCAGAGCCCAAATGCCTTCTGGTGACACTTGCCATAGGTGAGGGTGTAGACGGCCTTCCCAGCTGTGTCTAAGGCAGTCAGACAGGGGGCTTTGGGCTGCGTCGTACCCCACCGCTGCAAGGCGGCCAGCAGGGACGGTGGCCAGGGAATCCCCATGGCCAGAGGCTCCCCTTTCAGCACCACCATCTGGCTTCCCTCCGGCTTTGGCTGATTTGGATCTGGCTGCTGCACTACAAGCAAAATTGAAATTTAAAAATCAGCATTTCATAGTACCATGCATGCATTCTGTTTTTAAGTGTTCTCTTAAAAATTGCCAACTGTAAAAAGGTCACAATAACTTGTTCAGATTCCCTTATCATTGTCAGAGTCACGGACCAACTGACCAAAGGACAGGTGGAGATCCGTCACGGATGGTAACAGACACGGTGACCGTACCCACACGGGACAGTCCCCAGAAGGGCAGCAGTGCTGCTCCAGCGTTCTGGAGTGTTCTGGGGTTACGGCCAGTGCTGACAGCTAAGGAGCGGACAAGTCCCGCTGATGAAAGATGGAAGTGAGGAGGAGCATCATTTCTGGTTGGGCACACAAAACAACGCTCACCGCGGTGAAAGAAGAAAATAAAGTAAAATCCATTATATTTCCAATGGCTGTGTAACAGCATCGGCCCGAGTGTAAGAAAGCCTCCCCGGGGAGCATTCACACCGCTGAGCCCTGAACGTGAAGGGCATTACCCGATGACCAAGGGGACGACAACGCCCTCCAGGTTGCAGCTAGCCACCAGCGAGGCGGGGGGGTGGGGGGCAGCAAAACTAACTGCCCCAGAGACGCAGGGGCGGTGGGTGGACACGGCACACTCCAGCCTTGCGCTGGGCTCTATTTCTGTGCCTCTTCCATAGGTTCATGCTTACTTCTACCTCCTGGTAATTTTCTTTTAAAAATAAACCTACATTCTTTTTCCCTAAAAGTGTATATCTCATTCATAAGTGAGAGACTGAGTTTATGAACGAGGGCCAAAACTATGCTAAAAATATACCTTAACACCATGTAAGACTGTATTTCAGATTTAAAGCTTAAATAAAAATTGAAATGATGGGGGCGCCTGGCTGGCTCAGTTGGTGGAGCATTTGACTCTCAATCTCAGGGTCGTGAGTTCAAGCTCCGCATTGGGACTTTAAAAAAAAAAAAAGCTGAACTAATGTATGTAAAACGAAACCTTAGGAGTATTCTCGTAAAGCACTAAGGCCTGGACCAGAGGCACAGGGAGCGTGAAGTCCCTGAACTACGGCATCGAGCATCGTGCTTCCGCCCCGTTCACAGTGAGGCCAGCAGTCACGCGGGACACACCGCGACCCCGGGGGCCAGAAACAGACGGGGGATCACTTCGTTGTGCTGTAATGTCCCGGGGTGGCCACACACGACACACATTTGCCCCCAACCCTGGACGCGACAGCCACCTCGTCTACACAGACACGAGCGCCCGCCCGAGATCTCTCACCTTCCAACAGCTCCTCAAAATCATCCACAAAGAACTCCTTCAGCGGAGGGCGCTTGGGCCTCTTCAGGGTGTTGAGAAGCTGCTGGATTTTGGAGGACACTCTGCTGCTCACAGGGACACCTGCCACGGGAAGAGGAGCGCTGAGGCCAGAGCCCGCTGACCCTCCGGAGACAGGACGCAGACGGGGTCCCGGACCAGCCGCACGAACGTGCCGGAACTCCTACACCCAAGCGGGCACTCGCCCTGTCAGGCAGCCGCTTTGGAATCACTAATTCATTCAACAAATATTCACCGAAGGTCTTCTGGGAACTAGAATGTTGTTGTTTTTTGTTTTTTGTTTGAATTTTGTTTTTTTTTAAACTAGTGATTTTCAGGGTGGTCCAGAGCCCCTTCCGGGCGATCATGGCCACCTGGCGGCATCACTGGCCTTCCCGCCCTCCTCCCAGGGCACATGAACCTCCCCCACAACGTGAGCCACTACAGGAGGGGCAGGGACGAGGCACAGGGCTTCCATGACGCCAGCCCCGCCGCAGAAGGGCAACAGTGGAAAACAAGACAAATCTTTGTTTTAGCAATTCTTTCCTAAATATGTGCTATTTAGGTGAAGAAGTGATGCGTTTCTTGTTGCTATTTTTAAATGGATTAATAAATATTTTTTAAATCTTTAGTTTTACCTTCTAACGTAGTAAATACTCAGACATTCAAGCCACATAAACTAAATGCTCTTTGGCGTCCTAACGATGAAGACGCGATGCTGTGGGAGACGTCAGGCAGCAGACAGACGGACAGACGGCGTCCGCCCTCAGCTCGCCGTCCCCGGGGGAAGCAGCAGGAAGAGGTCAGAGGCCCGGGGCCCAGAGCAGCCTGCGGGCCCACAGCACGGCTCGGCCGGGTGGGAGGGAGCGGGGCCGGGAGCAGGGCCGCTGTGCAGGGGGCGCCCACGGCCTGTGGCACCCGCCCCCAGGCAAGCACTGTCCAGCCTCCGGGGCCTGACACACTTCTTCGTCCTTTATGACGCGGACATTCTGAAAGAACAGTTTGGTTTTTTTTTTTCTAATGAAGCAGAACACTCCTCCTCTTCGTTTGCCTGAGGTTTTCCCAGGACTCCACTCGGGCCGCGCTCCGGGCCGTTCCTCACCCACAGCGCCGCCTGGGTTCCGCACCGCACGGTGCCCTGCGCCCCCCGAACTGACGCGGGAGCGAGGAGGCGCCTCGGGCCGCCCTAGCACCCCGATCCTCACAGAAGCCTCGCCCTGCTTTTAACACCACGGGGTCATTCGTGTCAGAAGCCGTGCGGTCGTCGACCCTCAGCATTCTGTTGTCCGTCCGTCTGTCCGTCTACCGATCCTCAGGGATGGCTCAGGGCTGCTCAGTCCTGCAGAGCACTGGGGCCAGATCGGGACTCGGGGTGGGACCGAGCCCGGGTCACGCCCCGCTCTCAGTGGGGACCCGGCTTGAGACTTTCTCTCCCTCGGCCCCTCCCCCACTCTCGGTCTCTGTCTCAAATAAATAAATAAATCTTTTTAGAAAAGGTTCTTTTCTTATGGTTCTTAACTATTTTTTAAAGATTTTATTTATTTCTATTTGAGACAGAGCAGGAGCAGGGGGCGGGGCGGAGGCACAGGGAGAGGCTGACGGCGCACACGGGCTCACTCCCAGGACCCCGAGAGTACGGCCCGAGCCGAAGGCAGACGCCTCACCCGCAGAGCCCCCGTGCCTCTGGGGTCTTAACTATTTTGACAAATTGTCCCATATTTAGCCAGTGGGATCCCACGCAAGCTGATCTGTGACACGCCCCCATCGTTTGCCTACACTGCCGTCCACTCTGTCCTAGGACATTTCGGAGCCGTTCAGGCTGTCCCGCCCCAGCCCGGCATGAGCTCTTTCTCTAAGGAGCCCGGGGCCTCCTGGGGGGCGGGGGGATGTCGGAGACCAAGCTCTGGCCACCAGGTGTGCCCAGTGAGCCTGCAGTGTTTTTGCTACTGTTGGAATCGGAGCTAAAAACGCAGACTAGGTGTGTAACAGGCAGGGGCCGCGGACACACACACCTACAGGCCAGCGCACAGTGCACAGCGGGATCTTAGGAGCCAGGAGTCCACACCGTGCTTCCCATCCCAGTCCTCCCCTAGGTTTCCTCCTCCCCTTCCCACTCACGTTTGCACTGACTCCCAACATCAACGCCTCTGCTCAGCACTATCGTGTATATAAAAGAATTTCCCAGTGGCTTTACCCCCAGTGAGCTCAAGCTTCTTCGCTGTTCACACTCCACCTCGTCGAAGACTGTGGTGTCCCGCCCAGGACTGTGTTCGTCACCTACCTACCCTACCCCTCTCCCCATCGCCCCTAAACGTGGCTACAGTGCTCCACAAACACAACAACCATGCTCACTTCCACTTGCTTTCAGTTTCCCATCCTTCAAGTTTATGCTCTGAATTTTGTTATTACGTTAACAAGCTTCTAAATGTCTTTAAATAAAGACAAGCTCAAAGAAACAGCACGCCCTCTTCATCTCCTTCCACCACCTCTGGAGAGGTGCCTTCTGGTCTCACTGCTTTCTGGTCCCCTCCCAGGGCCTTCTGTGCACAGAAATGCTTCATCGCGTCCCCTTTTCTCTCACACAAAAGGTGGCATTCTAGAACTGCTCTTTCACTTTTTGCTTTTCCACTTAACATCCTGGAAAAACACCTTACTCCAAGTCATAAAGAGCTTTCTCATTATTTTCGACAGCTGCATTATACTCCATAATGCAAAAATACTAGGTTTAGTCAACCAATTTGTGAAGTCTGGAGAGCTAGGGAGTCTCTAATATTTTGCAATTATACATAGTGCTGCAAAGAACTACCTCGTGCACATGGATTTCCTTTGTTTTGGAAATGTATGTTCAGAGTAAATTCCTACCTTGGCACAGCTGGGTCCAAAGAGAAGTACCACTATATATTTTACCAATTTCTCTTCCAAAGAGGTTTAACTATTTTGCATTCCCAGCAACAGTGTGTTATTTCTCTAATTATGAAAAAGGCTGAACATGATGATGCTCAAGAGCTACTTTTATACACTCTTATAAACCAGATGTTCCTATTTTTTTGCCCCTTTTCCTACACTAAGAGTTGGCAAACTTTTCTTAAAGGGCAAGATAGGAAATGCTCTGGGCAGAGAGCACAGTCTTGGTTTTAACTACTCTGCTCTGTGATTCTGGGGCAAAAGCAGCAAAGATGACATGGGAAGGATGGGTAAGGCTTGTCCCAATAAGACATTATTTACAAAAGCAAGATGCCAGTCCATACACCATAATTTGCTGATTGGCACTCCATATGATTCTGGGTCTTTTCCTATTCTTAAAAGTCTACTCAGAGGTGGCTGGGTGGCTCAGTCAGTTAAGTGTCTGCCTTTAGCTCAGGTAATGATCTCAGGGTCCTGGGATCAAGTCCTACATCAGGCTCCCTGCTCAGCAGGGAGTCTGCTTCTCCCTCTCCCTCTGCCCCTGCTCGTGTTCTCTCTCTCACTCTCTCTCAAATAAATAAATAAAATCTTTTTAAAAGTCTTTCATTTTAGAAGTATCAGAGTTTTATCACAAATGCTGTGAATAGTTTCTCCTAGTTTGTCAATTCTTGTGACTCTATTTTGCCATCTAAAGAATTTTTTTAGTTTTATGTAGTCAAATTCACATTACTTTTATTGCATGTAGATTTTTAGTTAAATTTAGAAAGGCTTTACGTATAACTAGGTTAAAGGAAATTCACCAATTCATTTCTTATATTCAGATGTCTGATTCTTTTATTGGAGTTTTGCATTTTCAATGGTATGGGAAAAGGATCTAAGTTTAACTTTTCCCAACAAGCTTTCCAATGGTCCCAATAACATTTATTTAAAAAAGCATCTTTGCCACATATAGTATATATAGTATCATGTAAAGGAATACAGTGATGAAGTAAAGATGCATATAGTACATTGTATAGTAACCACTAAAAAAAAAAAGTATATATAGAATAGAAGAGGAAGCAGACAAAGGACTAAAATTAGCAGATGGGTAAAAGAGAGAAAATAGTGCAGGATCATAGATTTAAACCCAACCAAATCACTAAATAAAATGGACCCTGGCAGGGGGTGCCTGGGTAGCTCAGTCAGTTTGGTTTGAGCTGGGGTGGTAATCTGAGTCTTGGTTTCAGCTGGGGTGGTAATCTTGGAGTTGTGGGATCTGGTTCTGCACTAAGTATGGAGTCTGCTTGAGATTTTTTTCTCCCTCTGCCTCTGAGCACCTGCCCCCCCATAAATAAATAAATAAATAAGTAAATAAATAAACAAACAAACAAATAAATAAATATCTTTAAAATGGACTATAGGGCACCTGGGTGGCTTAGCTGGTTAGGCATCCAACTCACAATCTCACCTCAAGTCTTGATCTCAGAGTCGTGAATTCAGGCTCACATTGGAGCATACTTAAAAAACAAAAAAAAAAAAAAGCCTGACTATAAATGGTCCCAACACTCCAACTAAGTAAACGATTGTCTGCTTAAAGAAACATGCAAGAATGAATAAAATCTAATTAAAAGAAACTCATTTTAATTTTAAATACCTAGGCAGGGTAAAAGTAAACGGATAAAAAAATTTGCCATGTAACTATACTCATCAAATGGCTGAAGGCAGCCATAATAATACCAGATAAAGAAGACTTCAGGATAAAAAACATCACAAAAGATAATTTTATGATGATAAAGTGGCCAATTCATCAAGTCAGAACAATTTTAAATATGTATGCACCTAATAATAGAACTTCAAAATACACAAAACAAAAACTGACAGATATAAACAAAAAGAAAAATCCAAAATTATAGTTAGCAATTCAATACCCCTCTCAGCAAGTTATAGAAAAAGTACGTAGATAATCAGTAAGGAGAGAGAAGATTCAAACTAAAGTATCAACCAAATGAATATAACTTTCATTTACACGGAAAACTACCCAACAGCATTATATGCCTCAAAGAGATCATGTGCTCGGTCATTAAAAAGTTTGAATATGGGCAGCCCTGGTGGCTCAGCGGTTTAGCGCCGCCTGCAGCCCGGGGTGTGATCTTGGAGACCCAGGATCGAGTCCCATATCGGGCTCCCTGCATGGAGCCTGC